CATCATCATCATCATATACATCGTCATCGTCATCGTCATCGTCATCGTCATCGACATCATCATCATCATCATCATCATCATCATCATCATCATCATCATCATCATCATCATCATCATCATCATCATCTTTATCTTCTTACTGCTGCTGTCGCTGCTGCTGTTCTTGTTATTTGTTGTGTTGGACATGTTGTTTTATTGTTGATTGTTTTTCACTTGACGTACATTCGAATCTCACCGTACCCGGTAGGTTCAGGATTGCACGCTTGGACGGGTACTTTAAGCATTAAATTCAAGGGTGGTCTGCAATATGGGGGGTTGGAGAAAGGGGTGGGCATTTGGCGCGCGTTTCGGGCCTTTCACAAGGAATGAACGAGGGGAATGAGACAACGAAGAGGGTATCATGGAGGAGAGGAGGAGAGGTTGTGCGAGAGAGAGCGAGTAGAAGGAGGAGGAAGAGGAGGAGGAAGAGGAGAAGGAAGAGGACACAGTGGTGAGTAAAGATGAAGCGGGAGTGAGGGGAGAAGGGAAGGATGAGGTGTTTATCATCGAATTGAGATTTTCTGATGATGCAAGTTGAAGCATCATGTGTGATCGAAGACGAAAGTGTGATGAGAAGAAAGCTGGAGATGGGATAGAAGGAAGAAAGCACAGACTTGCATGACGCTGGTCGGACACGATGGTAGGGAGTCTGCTCTTGTCCTCATAGCCATGAAAGCGATCGGAATGAGTGTAGATGTAGGAGATATTGAGACGAGGAAGACAAAGAGAAGGAGAGAATGAGGGAAGTGGCAGGAAAGGGGACAGGACAAGGGAAGATCGACGTCGTGAGACGTGTTGATTTCGTTGGACAACAGCAACTTATGGAGACTGTTTGGAAGAGTTGTTCAATATTTTTGTGGTGTTTGTAGAGCAGATGACACGTGGAGGAGGTGAATTCTGACAAGATATTATTCATCGGAGATGATCTGACTTCTGCTATGATAGTTGATGTGCATTGCAGGGGTGAATCATTGAGCTTGACCTACCTCGGGATGTTTGTTCTTGCTCGCATACGGTGAGCTGGGATCTGTTCTACTACACTCGTTTGAGTCATGGATTGCTTTGAGGGACGCCAAGCAGGTATGTTTCCTCTCATTGCAAGGACGAGCGCGGGCTCCACCTGATGATACTCCAAGTCCTTTAGTGATCGAAGACGCAGGCCAGTCACAGACGGAGGGGCTGAACAAAGACTTCGAAGATTTGCCCTCTTCCAGCAAGAAGAGCCAAACTAAATCAAATGAATCCTCTAGCTCTCGGCCTGAATTTTCCCCTGGTGATATTGTGGAAGCTCGGTGGACTGAACCGGCTGCAGATGGTACTAGATTCTCTGATGTCAAATTTCCCTCCCAGTAATGAGTTGTAGGATTGTATCACTACTACAGAGCAAAGATCTTGTCGTTCAGTAACGGGTGCTATGAAGTAAGATGAATTGTTTCAGACTTTATGGTTTGCTTATTACCATGTCTCAGATTCGATGGGAAGACCCGGATGGCTTCGACCCCGTGATTACATTGAGAGCGGCTCGTGTCAGGAGTATAGGATCTGGGAAGCCACAGAAACCACGTAGAAGAAGAACGACGTTCGAGTCCAATCGGTGACGTGTCTCAGTTTTGTTCTGCAAGGATGATTTTCCTTTTACAGATCGGAATCTCGAGTTCAGAACGCCATCTTCCTTCCCACGAAAAGCTCTTCCGGCAGAAAGGTCAACCGGATTCAGAAGTTTTCTTTCTCCGAAGCATACCAGAGCTCGTCGCTGCCACCAGTGATGAAGAAACCGAAGCCTATCGAGGAGGAGATAGCTGGCAAGTGGGTGGGCGAATCTCTTGGGTTCAACGGGTACAGGAAGTACTACCGATCAGTCGAGCTCGCTTCGAACGGGGAAATCATTGAATGCGGAAAATGTGTTGCGATGCGACCTCCTCAGTCGAGTCGAAGCAAGTGGGACGCCAGCAAGTACATGCGCCTGATGTTTCTTTCCCATCGAGTCATTTCGCTCTTGCAGGCCATGGATAGCTGCTGTCAAGGACCTCTTCGAAGACACATATGGGAACATGATGATGAATTGCGTATATACCTGCGTCTCACTTTCGATGTAGGATTGACCATTCTTAGGTCTGGTTTTATCGCCCTTACGACTGCAAAGGAGTTCAGTTGCCTGAGGATACATTAAGCACAGAAATATTCTTGAGTAAGTGGAATGGCACAACACAGCTAATTCTGCTGTTGTTCGAGTGCTGTTGATAACGTTGCAGGTGGTGTAGCGGATGAAAACAGCATTTTCTCCATCCAGGGCTCTTGTGAGGTTCGAGGCCCACAAGATTTTGAGCTTTATAAACAGAAGCAAGCTCTCAAGGTTTCAGAATCCGAAGGTGAATGGTCGACTTCTTGGAAACTTTGTCTTGATGCAGCTCTTGTTCAGAAATCGTTTCCGATAAAGAGCCTCTCGTGCTCCTGTGTCGACGGCGGTGAGTCAATGTGTAGAGTTGACGCCCAGCCACAGTCCTGATAATTTTCTTAACAGATTTGAAGAGGATTCCTTCGAAATTGTGGACATCAAAGATACGCAACGAGAGATTGAGAGGGCTGTGAATGGAGTTCATTACTTGCAGAAGTCAGTCATGCAGCACATCCGGAATTTCCAGCAGGAGTGGATTGAGATCTTGATGAAGAACCAGATCAACTCAAAGATTTCGCCAGAGATCCTTCAATTTTTGAAATCAAGGAATCCGGGGTTTGAGGCAACGTTGAATTTGGCATTTCACGAGCAAGTTCGCAAATCTCAAACTCGCAGTTTCTATGCGGAGGAGATTGTGTTCGAGGAGAGCGATGTTCATTTCCATGACAGGAACTATGCCGATGGTTTCGTTGGGTTCCCGAACCGCGAATTCTTCAATTCCAAGTTTCAAAAACTCCCGTCGCAAAGTCACAGAAAGGAGAATTATGACCGCTGCCAGAATGACTCAAGTTTCCAGAATGCAAAGAAGCGATCTTCAGACCAGATAATCGACACGACCCGCCTATCACACAAACTTAAGAAGGCCAGGCCATCAGAAGCAGAAGTTCTAGAGAACAAGCACGTCAGGACATTTCAAAGCGAAGGAGGTCACTCGGATGATACAACGGCTTCGCAGCAATCAACTCCGTTGATCGAATCTCGTCAAGATGGAAATACTCCAGACCAATTCCCGAGATGTGCGGACAGGAGTTTCGAGAACAACCACAACGAAGAGGTGAGGCATGCAAGTCGATACCACTGTTGAGCCCCGTGCAGGAGTTCGATGAAGCGAGCCAGAACGGGAGCTCGGACATGGATGCCGACTCTTCTTCAGATTCCGATGGGTGGTCGTCGAGCGACTGCTTGGAGACTGACAGGCGAGTGTTCCTGTCGGACATCAACCCTCACCTCTACACTCGTCCCAAGACTGTCAAGGGGGGAACGGAATGGTATCCCAAGTTGACGCCTGAGGAGGCCAAGACCAGGGCAGGATACCCTTGTTTGTGGGTCTGCGCCTACCCGATGTGCGGGCAAGCGTTTGCCAGTAGGCATTTCTGTAAAGCTCATCAGCTATCGGCGAAACACGGCAAGTGGGAGGGAGAAAATCCTGTGAGCGACTAGCGATGGTGGTTGCGTGTGTCTGAGATGCTCGACTGCAGATGATATCCAAGAGCGGCAAGCAGACAGCTATCGTAGTCGATTGCACCAGGAGCGGTGAGGTAACATTCGCTTCTCCCACCATAGAGAAGAAGATGAGGAAGGTAGACGAGCTCGATGCCCTTCGAGGCTCTCGAGATTGACACGTCATTGCCGTGCAGCTAGTCAAACAGATGTCCGGCAGCGAAGAGCCGCAGATTGACATGAACTTGCCGGTCCCTGGGAAAGTTTTGCACACGGGAGATCGTAAGTTCCTCTAAAGCTTCCGGTCGAGCTCTGACATGCGAGAAGGCTGCAAGGGATGGGGCTTGTTTGCTTGCAAGCACGTGCAGAAGGGAGAGTTCATAGGACACTACTCGGGAGTCGTGACAGACATCGGTTACGCCAAGCGCTACACGGGTCACTACACCTTCGGAGTGATCCATGGGCTGGCCATCGACGGGACGGCGGTAGGAGTGAGGACGAGGACGAGGAGAAAGAGGGGGGGGGGGTGTTGTGGGAGGGAGGATGTGTAGCTGGTCGGGTGACTTGAGGCACAGGGTGGCGCCTTGAGGTTCATCAATCACTGCATGGAGAATGAGGAGCCGACAGCTCGAGCTCTGATAGTGAATCACCACGGTAGGAAGTTGAAATGACCTTGTCCGGCCCCTTCTTTCCTTGGTTGATCCCTATCCCCCTCCATTCCTCCTTCCCTTCCATTCTCCCTCCCTCCCTCCCTCCCTCCCTTCCCTCTGCCCCTTCCCTCCCTCTGCCCTTCTCTACCCCTCTTTTCTTTTCTTCTATTTAGCATAGTAGATGCTTGACCTGACCTTGTGTGATCCTGCAGGTGTATGCCATGTAGCAGTGTATGCGGCACAAGAGATCCAGGTTGGAGAAGAGATAACGCTGCGGTATTTGGATGTCTCGGTAGGCAAAGAACGATCAAATCGTTGGCACCAACTCACTTCTTTGAGCAGGATGCTGAATTCTTTGCATCTCCTTGCGGATTGGACTAATTCGCTTGTTCCTCTTTCAGTTTTAATGTAAAGTAGCAGGTGAGCTAGTCCTTCACTGGTCCCTCGTCTTCGTTCCCTCCTCTTCCCCCTTCTTCATCTTCTCCTTCATCTTCTCTTTCATTTCCTCCTTCAACTTCGAGTATACTTCTACCACCTCCGCCACCTGGCCTCGTCACGTCACATGTCACAGCCCTCTCAGCAGACAGCTCGCTTACCGTTGCGATATCTCCGTCAAAGTGACAAGTTACATCGATCGTATCCAGGGCAAAGATGAACGACTGGCAAATCAGGAAGAAGTTGTCAACAAGGTTGGACCAGGGGAAGGGGAAGGGAAATAGGCAGGGGTAGAGAGAAAGGGGCAGTTGTAGGGGAAGGGATAGAGAGAAAGGTGTAGCGGCAGGGGCAGGGGCAGGGACAGGGGAGACTGACGTTGTCCGATCTTGAGCTCAAGTCTCCCTTCTTCCTCAAGTGAACTGGGTCGCCCTCAGCTCCGAACCTCCGAGTCTCTCCCCTCACCACTCCGAGGGTCATGCACGAGCACGTCCGAGATGGCCTGCTTGACCTGACCAGCATCGAGTCAGCTGGTCAGCAGCTGGTGATGCAGGGAGGAGCTGGACCTCTTCCTTGGTCTTGAAGAAGGTGAAAGATGGAAGAAACTTGTCTGTACGTCATAGGGTAAGTGGCAGCTGGGGGTCATGGTGAAGGAAGCAACCGATCTGACTCTCCGCCTCCTGCGAGAACTGAACGTTGAGCCTCGCGACCGGAGGCCTCTTGATCCACTGGCAGAGCAGGAGAGTCAAGACAGAGGAGGAGGAAGAAGTAGTGGAGCAGGAGCAGCAAGGAAGGTATGTAGAGATTGACAAAGAGGAGGGTCAAGGAAGCGCTAGAGGAGTTCAAGATCGAGAAACTGGATAAGAAAAGGGGAAGGGGGGAAGAAGAGGAGAAAGGGAAGGGAGAGATGGAAAAGAGGAGGAGAAAGAGGAGGGAGAAAGAGGAAGGAGGACGACGACGAGGACGACGTCGAGGAGGAGGAGGAGGAGGAGGAGGAGGAGGACGAGGACGAGGAGGACGAGGAAGATACCTCAGGAATCTTCACTTCCTCATCAGTCTCGTTGTCATAGTCGGGTATATACGGCTTGATGTCAAGGATGGGAGTTCCCTTGTAGACGTCAGCTGGATTATACCCCCACCCGTCCCTACCTGTATGATGTCAACCCCACTGAGGTGAAGCGTTCGCCCCTCCACCCGCTCCAGCTGCCTGCGGCCTCAGCAGCAGCCTAGCTGAAAGATGGGAGGCGGACCTTGCACAGAGACAGCCCAATGGGGTTGGGCCGATGGGGGGTGCGGGTGGCAAACAAGCCCTTCCTAGTGCCGTCGAGGCGAGGAGGATGAACGAGTGCCTTGATGGACTGGAGGTGCTTGTCATGTGCATGGCGAAGATGGAGGAGGCGGCAGCGAGGGGAGGGAAGCAGAGAGACAGACGAGCAGGGGAGGGGCAGGGTCAACAAAGTAGGGAGGAAGAGTCTAGAAGGTGAGCAGAGGATGGAGAGAAGGATGGGAGAGAGGAGAAAATCGCGAGAAACCTTGTTGCCATTGTCGTGAAAGAGAAAAAGTACCCACACCTGCAGGCAACTGATGAGAGACGTGCGGGGGAGGTGGAAGTCGAGGAAAAGGAGCAGCAAGAGAAGAGCGAGGAGCAGGAGAAGAGCGAGGAGCAGCAGCAGGAGGAGCATGAGACATGAGAAAACTCGGTCAGTCCAATGAGCGTGTGCTCCGGATTAGTTCCGAACAAAATCGTGATAGAGCTGCCAACATGTCAAGAAACCCCAACGACGGGAGGGCTCTGCGAACCCCTTGGACGTCTTAGCGACGTTCCCCTGCCGAGGAGTCCCGTTCTGCAGCAGAATCAACAACTCCTCTCCCCTCTCCCGTACCCTACTTCCCGTCTCCTCCCCATCCTTTCCCCCCCCACCCCCCCTTTCTCCTCCATTCTTCTCCTTCACTGTCCCCTCTCCTCTCCCCTCCCCTCCTATCCCCTCCTCTCCTCTACTCTCCTCTCCTCTCCAGTCTTCCCTCACCTTCTCAAGGAAGCACGACGACATATACCCGATTGGACGCAGACCGACGATTGGCTGACCTTCCCAGACGACTCCTCCTCCCTGGCACGAGAACAACTCAGTCCCCGCAAGGGCCCAACAGTCTACTCGCCTCCATGTCCGATGGGATCGAGACTGGTTTCGCTCTTGTGCCGAGGACCTGACAGGAATCAGAGGAGGAGGAGGGGAGGGAGGGAGCGGACTTCGGCGACAGCCAGGTCCTTGGGTCTTGCCTCTTTGCCGGCAAACCCGTAGCCTGGTGCTCGCATGTCAGGTGGGCAGCAGACGGGTCGGGGTGCTAACCGCTTGCCGTCAGGAGCTCCTTCCTGCTGCTGGAATTCTTCTCTCGCAATGACCTGGAAGGAAAGGAGGTGAAGGAAGGAGAGGAGATGAAGGAAGGAGAGGAGATGAAGGAGAGAGAGGAGGTGGTGGTGGAAGAGGAGATGAAGGAGCGGAGGTGAAAGAGGGAGAGGAGGTGAGGAGGGAGGGAGAGGAGATGAAGGTGGGAGAGGAGATGAAGGTGGGAGAGGAGAAAGAGGAGGAGGAGGAGGTGAAGAAGAGAGGAGGTGAGGAGGAAGAGGAGGTGAAGGAGCAGAGATGAAGGAGGGAGAAGAGAAAGAGGAGGAGGTGGTGGTGGAGGAGGTGGTGGAGGGAGAGGAGGTGGGGGAGGTGCAGGAGGAGGAAAACGAGGACCCTTACTTGTTCTCTGCTTTGAGGATCTCACACCAAGACGCGAGCTCCTTGACCTTCAACTTCGTCCTCAAATTAGCCCGGAGATCACTGATAAGCAGGGAAGCTACGTCACACCTCAAGGGCATCTATCCTCCTTTGTTCGCTAGACTTCGCTTCGTTCTTAACCTTGTAAACATCCCCGTCAATCAACTGCCCCCTACCACACAACTCACCTCCTCTTCATTGCTGTACAATTCATTCAGATCTCGTTTCCTGCATGATTTGCCCTCTACGCTCTGCAAACCGTTAGAGACGTTCCCAATCTCATTCATCCAACGGAGACTTCTACCATAAACAGCGAAGAGACTATCTTGTAGCATTTCCCTTCCGCTGCTGCCTCTACCATTGACCCTACGACATCATCAGGGCTCTATCAAGCCGATGTCGTTTGGCATAGACCGTCTTCGCGCAGCTCGACCACGTTGTCGTCTTCGTCAACCAGCAAAGCATGCGATCCTAACATGTTTCAGTTCCAATCACTTGGCTCTGACATCTTCGTGCTCATGCTCTCCTCCACTCCTGCTCGCATGCTCTCCTCTTTCTCTCTTCTCCTCCTCTCCTCCTCTCACCCAGCATCTCCTTCAGCTTCTTGTCGTCCTTCATCTTCACCACCGCATCTCCAATCTGAACCAGCATTGCGGCCACTCACTCAATTCATCCCCCTCTTCACCCCCCTCATGCCCGGGCCCCGCAGCTCCGGGACCCCGGCCCGGCCCCGGCCCAGGTCAGACAGGGCCCGGGCCGGCCGGGCCCGGCGGCCCGGTACTCCTTTACCATCTATTACTACAGCCACTGACGGATTTAGGCCACCAAGATGGGAGGGCTCACTTGTGGCTGACTGAGAGGCCACGGGTCATCATGTGGGGGGGTGATTTTTGCACAAGATGATAGGTAGGGGTTATTACCCCTACCCTCAAAAGGTAGAATTCTGGTTGCTCCACCCCACCTTTGCATCATAAGAAGGGGTACTATAGATCAGTGAACTCTTAAGTGAGAGCATAGGAAAATTGACGATAGGGTGGACCATGCAAACAGCGAGCGGAGTACCATGCGATCCTCCCGCCATGCCATGTTCCTGATGAAACGATTTACATCTCCTTACCCCTTCCACTCTCCTGCTTCCTCTGTCTCTGTCTCTGTCTCTGTCTCTGTCTCTGTCTCTGTCTCTGCCTACCTCCCCCTTTCTCCCTCCACATCCTCGACCTCCGTCTTACTCATGGCTCTCCTTACCTGCGGCAGTGCCCTCCTTCTCAATCACGGGTCGAACTTCATCCCTTTCCCGCTCCGGTCTCATGGTGCTGCTTCAACCTCTACACTTCCCTTAACATATTGTCATATTTGTTTCGCATCATGCTCCCCATTCCCGTCTCCCATCCTCTTCAGATAATGCTCCTGCTCCATAGCTCTCATCCTCCCGCTTCTTGCCTCTTACGAGTCTGTTTCGCCGTTCTGTTGTTGACATCTGGATGTTTTTTTCTTCAACCCCCCCCGCCTCGATGATTACTTCAACAATTTCACACACTTTAATTGAGCCTTTTCTCATACTAGCATTTTCAATGGCTCAAACTTGTGCGGTGATCGTGACTTCCTGACATGTTGTTCCTGTACAGATCTCATACTCGTACTTTCTGAAGTCATACAGATCAAACCTGATCTCATCTTGATCTCGATGCCGATGGTCACCCTTCACTCGAAACGTCTCCATGGGTCAACATAGAAAGCTGACGCGCATTTCTTCACCTGCGATCGGATGGCGCGATGGAGGTTATGAACTCGCCTTGCAAGGCTTCAACAGGGTTGAGGCCCCGTGCAGCTTGCGTACCTGGTGACTCGTATTCAAGTTCAGCTAGCACTGTCTGTGCGGCCCATAAGGAGATCTTCTATTCGAGCAATCCCACTGGAACGCTTCACTCAGGGGAGAGGTCTGATTACCCTCTAGATGTACATCTTCAAGGCGCCAGTGCTGCGGAACAAAACTTCTGCGTAAGACCAGAATGCAGGAAAGATCCCTTGGAATCATGCAACCCTGGCGTGATGGAAGACGGCGCCTCCAACAAGTGCAAAAGTCTCATTCATGACACATCGGGCATGCTGCCTCCTTGCACTAGGAGTGAGATTTATGATGCGTTCAGGAAGCACCAGGGGTTGGACGGAAAGGTCAGCCCTTGCCGACTTCTCAAGATCTCGGCCGAGGTTGGCCTGGATCAGCGGAGAGTTCTCCGTCTGCTATGCAAGGAATGGTCAATGGACTTGGAGACCTTCATGATGGTGCTTCAAGATGGAGAGGAGCAGGGAGAAATGAACGGGAGCAGGTTGAAGGATACTGCAAGCGATGAGCTTCAAGGGATACTGTACTCGCCGATTGACAGAAAGCAGCTCCGAAAGACCTTGCAGCACTGCAGAGTGGAATACCAGGAAGCTCTCGCCAACATGAAGGAGAGTGATGCACATCTCATTGCCATGCGCATGCTCCCGAGCATCGTCGATGATATCATGCTGCTGCGAGAGGAGGTTGGAGTCTATCCGGGTGTGAAGAAGGGCTTTGAACAAGCTTGCACACGCAGCGATGTTGTTGGAAATAGCACAGAATCTCCTCGGGGTAACAATCTGCAGGAGCATGAAGAGCCAGGAAGGGGAAGCATGGATGAGTTTCAAAGCGAGGGTCAGGTATCAAGGCACAACGGGCTGCCCACGACTCCGACCAGCCCCGGCGATGCGGATGAGTCGATGGAGCACGGCTCGTCGTCCAGCGATGACAGTGAGGCGGACATGTCAGGGATCGACTTCTCCCGGAGAGAATCGTCCTTCAGTCATGGCTTCACTGACTACGACCAGGAGGAGGTGGGTTGTAGCTCCGACGGCAAGCAGGTCGGCAGACTGACCGTGGCTCTGCTCTGCGTCGCTGATACAGTAAGGACTTACAGGGCCCAGAGGCGTCGGATGAGACGAGGATGCTTCTTGGTGAGTTTCTCAGGCTTCCAGTGACTGGAGAACTGAGCTTCCCTTTGCGCAGATCAAATCAAGAGAGAGGCGGAAGAAAGTCTGCGAGCCTACAGGGCAGCCATCGCACGGACATCACAAGGAATCTGACATGAGTCAAGTTGGAATGGATCGGCCGACCAGCGCACCCGTGCCAGCAGCGCATTGTGATCCTTTGGGCCGCCGAGGCTCCAACTCACTCTGACCGACCCGGCGTCCGACCCGGCGCTCGCGGCAGTCGGAGGGCTGATGAAGTATGCGTTCTGAGGGTGGCTGGTATAAAGCGGTAGTTCCATATCCTCCGAAAGTACTTCGAAATCATCTTACTACTTTCAAATGGTAACAATGGAGTTTTGTATAAACAAATCGGACTCCGAGGCGGACGGTAAACGGGACTGGCGGGCTCGCCTCAGAGCGTTGGACAAAAATACTGATTCCCGCGGCCCGTCACCTCAGGATGGAGGAGCTAGAGGAGGGTCCATGATCACTCTGGTATCTATTTAGACCCCCTCCCTCTCGCTGATGTTTCATCCGTTGATATCACTCGAGCTCACCCACTGTAGAGGAAAGTGGTTAAGAAGCTCCGTACTCATGTCTTTGAAAACCTGAAGATACCCTACTTTTCTTCCTCGTGAAACCTTTAGAAATCTGAGCATGTAGGGATTGGCCATGGTTTCATCTGGGTCATTACAGATGCAGGTTCGTTGAGTCGATGGACTGCAAACTGAGAGGGGACAGGATGGTCCATTGAGCGATTGGGTCGAATGGCTTACAATGACGAAGAAACATGTGAGTTGATCATGTGGAAGAAGAGAATGGGACGTTTGCAGGGGATTTTCTCGCCAGGTGGACATCTCAGTCTTGAGCGAGGGATGTTCGGAGAACCAAGCCGCGAGGAAAGGAAGCCATCACCGCATCGTGACTTGCTGATATGTTATTCCTGTGTCTCATTCATGACACATCGGGCATGCTGTTTGAGGGAAAGGTCAGCCCTTGCCGACTTCTCAAGATCTCGGCCGAGGTTGGCCTGGATCAGCGGAGAGTTCTCCGTCTGCTATGCAAGGAATGGTCAATGGACTTGGAGACCTTCATGGTGGTGCTTCAAGATGGAGAGGAGCAGGGAGAAATGAACGGGAGCAGGTTGAAGGATACTGCAAGCGATGAGCTTCAAGGGATACTGTACTCGCCGATTGACAGAAAGCAGCTCCGAAAGACCTTGCAGCACTGCAGAGTGTCATACCAGGAAGCTCTCGCCAACATGAAGGAGAGTGATGCACATCTCATTGCCATGCGCATGCTCCCGAGCATCGTCGATGATATCATGCTGCTGCGAGAGGAGGTTGGAGTCTATCCGGGTGTGAAGAAGGGCTTTCAACAAGCTTGCACACGCAGCGATGTTGTTGGAAATAGCACAGAATCTCCTCGGGGTAACAATCTGCAGGAGCATGAAGAGCCAGGAAGGGGAAGCATGGATGAGTTTCAAAGCGAGGGTCAGGTATCAAGGCACAACGGGCTGCCCACGACTCCGACCAGCCCCGGCGATGCGGATGAGTCGATGGAGCACGGCTCGTCGTCCAGCGATGACAGTGAGGCGGACATGTCAGGGATCGACTTCTCCCGGAGAGAATCGTCCTTCAGTCATGGCTTCACTGACTACGACCAGGAGGAGGTGGGTTGTAGCTCCGACGGCAAGCAGGTCGGCAGACTGACCGTGGCTCTGCTCTGCGTCGCTGATACAGTAAGGACTTACAGGGCCCAGAGGCGTCGGATGAGACGAGGATGCTTCTTGGTGAGTTTCTCAGGCTTCCAGTGACTGGAGAACTGAGCTTCCCTTTGCGCAGATCAAATCAAGAGAGAGGCGGAAGAAAGTCTGCGAGCCTACAGGGCAGCCATCGCACGGACATCACAAGGAATCTGACATGAGTCAAGTTGGAATGGATCGGGCCGACCAGCGCACCCGTGCCAGCAGCGCATTGTGATCCTTTGGGCCGCCGAGGCTCCAACTCACTCTGACCGACCCGGCGTCCGACCCGGCGCTCGCGGCAGTCGGAGGGCTGATGAAGTATGCGTTCTGAGGGTGGCTGGTATAAAGCGGTAGTTCCATATCCTCCGAAAGTACTTCGAAATCATCTTACTACTTTCAAATGGTAACAATGGAGTTTTGTATAAACAAATCGGACTCCGAGGCGGACGGTAAACGGGACTGGCGGGCTCGCCTCAGAGCGTTGGACAAAAATACTGATTCCCGCGGCCCGTCACCTCAGGATGGAGGAGCTAGAGGAGGGTCCATGATCACTCTGGTATCTATTTAGACCCCCTCCCTCTCGCTGATGTTTCATCCGTTGATATCACTCGAGCTCACCCACTGTAGAGGAAAGTGGTTAAGAAGCTCCGTACTCATGTCTTTGAAAACCTGAAGATACCCTACTTTTCTTCCTCGTGAAACCTTTAGAAATCTGAGCATGTAGGGATTGGCCATGGTTTCATCTGGGTCATTACAGATGCAGGTTCGTTGAGTCGATGGACTGCAAACTGAGAGGGGACAGGATGGTCCATTGAGCGATTGGGTCGAATGGCTTACAATGACGAAGAAACATGTGAGTTGATCATGTGGAAGAAGAGAATGGGACGTTTGCAGGGGATTTTCTCGCCAGGTGGACATCTCAGTCTTGAGCGAGGGATGTTCGGAGAACCAAGCCGCGAGGAAAGGAAGCCATCACCGCATCGTGACTTGCTGATATGTTATTCCTGTGTCTCATTCATGACACATCGGGCATGCTGTTTGAGGGAAAGGTCAGCCCTTGCCGACTTCTCAAGATCTCGGCCGAGGTTGGCCTGGATCAGCGGAGAGCTCTCCGTCTGCTATGCAAGGAATGGTCAATGGACTTGGAGACCTTCATGGTGGTGCTTCAAGATGGAGAGGAGCAGGGAGAAATGAACGGGAGCAGGTTGAAGGATACTGCAAGCGATGAGCTTCAAGGGATACTGTACTCGCCGATTGACAGAAAGCAGCTCCGAAAGACCTTGCAGCACTGCAGAGTGGAATACCAGGAAGCTCTCGCCAACATGAAGGAGAGTGATGCACATCTCATTGCCATGCGCATGCTCCCGAGCATCGTCGATGATATCATGCTGCTGCGAGAGGAGGTTGGAGTCTATCCGGGTGTGAAGAAGGGCTTTCAACAAGCTTGCACACGCAGCGATGTTGTTGGAAATAGCACAGAATCTCCGCTCGTCGTCCAGCGATGACAGTGAGGCGGACATGCCAGGGATCGACTTCTCCAGGAGAGAATCGTCCTTCAGTCATGGCTTGACTGACTACGACCAGGAGGAGGTGGGTTGTAGCTCCGACTGCAAGCAGGTCGGCAGACTGACTGCGGCTCTGCTCTGCATCGCTGATACAGTAAGGAGATGCTTCTTGGTGAGCTTCTTCTCCCAATGACTGGAGCACTGAGCTTCCCTTTGCGCAGAGCAAATCAAGAGAGAGGCGGAAGAAAGTCTGCGAGCCTACAGGGTAGCCATCGCACGGACATCACAAGGAATCTGACAGCCGCGTACTCAAAGTTAAGTCAAAAATCCCACACGGCGAGAACTTCGGAAGAGAAAAGACAGCGAGAACCAAACCCTAACCTGCCAACTGCTGTCCCCCAAACTTTACTGATACCTTCACTTTTAAACTGCAGTGCGCGCAGGACCATTCAGTCCGCCGCGCCATGCCAGCGATGTCTTACCATATCTGACTCCGAGGCGGACGGTGACCGGGGCTGGATTTGAAGTTGCCAGAATCAGTCGGATGGGAGGGGTGCGAGAGTGAAGCTGTGGATACAACCGCAACTGTCCTCAGGAGGGAGGAGCTCTCCAAGACAAAGAGGAGGGTCCATGATCACTCTGGTATCTATTTAGACCCCCTCCCTCTCGCTGATGATTTCATCCGTTGATATCACTCGAGCTCACCCACTGTAGAGGAAAGTGGTTAAGAAGCTCCGTACTCATGTCTTTGAAAACCTGAAGATACCCTACTTTTCTTCCTCGTGAAACCTTTAGAAATCTGAGCATGGAGATCAAGTTGTTATGCAACCTCAGGTCAGGATATAGGAATGCGCCATGGCTTCATCTGGGTCATTGCAGATGCAGGTTCGTTGAGTCGATGGACTGCAAACTGAGAGTAGACAGGATGGTCCATTGAGCGATTGGGTCGAATGGCTTACCATGATGCGAGGGATGTTCGGAGAACCAAGCCGCGCGGAAAGGAAGCCATCACCGCATCGTGACTTGCTGATATGTTATTCCTGTGTCTCACTCATGACACATCGGGCATGCTGTTTGAGGGAAAGGTCAGCCCTTGCCGACTTCTCAAGATCTCGGCCGAGGTTGGCCTGGATCAGCGGAGAGTTCTCCGTCTGCTATGCAAGGAATGGTCAATGGACTTGGAGACCTTCATGATGGTACTTCAAGATGGAGAGGAGCAGGGAGAAATGAACGGGAGCAGGTTGAAGGATACTGCAAGCGATGAGCTTCAAGGGATACTGTACTCGCCGATTGACAGAAAGCAGCTCCGAAAGACCTTGCAGCACTGCAGAGTGGAATACCAGGAAGCTCTCGCCAACATGAAGGAGAGTGATGCACATCTCATTGCCATGCGCATGCTCCCGAGCATCGTCGATGATATCATGCTGCTGCGAGAGGAGGTTGGAGTCTATCCGGGTGTGAAGAAGGGCTTTCAACAAGCTTGCAGACGCAGCGATGTTGTTGGAAATAGCACAGCATCTCCGCTCGTCGACCAGCGATGACAGTGAGGCGGACATGTCAGGGATCGACTTCTCCAGGAGAGAATCGTCCTTCAGTCATGGCTTCACTGACTACGACCAGGAGGATGTTACGTGGGTTGTAGCTCCGACGGCAAGCAGGTCGGCAGACTGACCATGGCACTGCTATGCATCGCTGATACAGTAAGGACTTACAGGGCCCAGAGGCGTCGGACCAGACGAGGATGCTTCTTGGTGAGCTTCTTCTCCCAATGACTGGAGCACTGAGCTTCCCTTTGCGCAGATCAAATCAAGAGAGAGGCGGAAGAAAGTCTGCGAGCCTACAGGGCAGCCATCGCACGGACATCACAAGGAATCTGACATGAGTCAAGTTGTAATGGATCGGCCGACCGGCGCTCCCCGGCGTGCCAGCAGTGCATCGTGATCCTCCTGCCGAGGCTCCAACTCACTCTGACCGACCGTCCGACCCTTTGCATACAAAAAATATTTTTTTTGAGTCATCTAGAAAAAGAGGTCACCTCAGAGCGTCGGACAAAAATACCAATTGCCGCGGCCCGTCCTGACAGGAGGGAGGAGCCGTACTTTTCTTCCTCGTGAAACCTTTAGAAATCTGAGCATGAAGATCAAGTTGTTATGCAACCTCAGGTCAGGATATAGCGATTCGCCATCATGGCATGGTTTCATCTGGATTATTACAGATGCAGGTTCGTTGAGTCGATGGACTGCAAACTGAGAGGGGACAGGATGGTCCATTGAGCAATTGGGTCGAATGGCTTACCATGACGAAGAAACATGTGAGTTGATGATGTGGAAGAAGAGAATGGGACGTTTGCAGGGGATTTTCTCGCCAGGCCCTGTTGGATTGCAGGCTGATTGAAGAGCTCTGAAGAAGTAGAGAGTCTGGACCACGTGAAAGCAAATAGGAGACGTGCGAGCAATCTTACTCATGTCTGATTGACCTCAGAGTGCGTGAAGTGACTGCTGCAGTTTTACTTCAGCTCCGTGAGGGGATGGCAGCCACCTGACAAGAAGCCTGAAAGGAGTCAAGTGAGCGCCTTGGAATAGAGTGCACGAGCTGATGTCGGACGAGGCTGATGCGCTTGCTAAGCCCAGCGGCAGAGGAGGCGCAGGAGAAGAGAAAGGGAGACGCAACAAGACTCAAATGAGGTGTGGGTAAGAGAGGTCAAGCAAGTGAATCTATTACACGGCAGTTGATGCTCATTTCTTATCCTTACACCTCCTCTCCTCGCCTCGCTCTCGAGGCGCTTGGGAGGGCCGCGGCTGCAAGCCCAGCTCTCCCCCTCAGCTGCAAGTAGATCAGCTCATCGACCTTGTCTTCTCTCTTGAGCTTCGGGAGCTTGACTGCGGCTTACGCAGTCCTCCTTCTCGGACTCTGTTGCGACTGGCACCCGCGAACGCAGCTTGATGACGCTTCTCAGCTTCATCTCTGCTCTCTCCTTCAGCTCTCTCTACATCTCGTCCTCGTCTGTCGATCTCAGGTAGTCTTCTATCCAATCTGGACATATCCACGCCTCCTCGCACACCCCGTCCGCCCCAGTCGAAGGGTGAAGAGCCGATGCAGCGGACACCGGGGGTTCGGTAAAGGTGCTCGAGCCGCTGGGTCCGGGGGAGCCTTCCTGTGCGAGGAGACGTTCAATCTCCCAGGCGCCAACCTCAGACACAGCGGAGGGATGGGGCTCCCCTTCCTCGAGCTTCTCTTCCTCCGACCTGGTATCGTCTGCTGGATCTGCCCCCTCCTGCTCTGCCGGCGGCTCCTGCGCATCATCAGTGTCGGCACCTGCTTGCCCCGGCCAGCGAGTGATGCCGATCCTCCTGCAGGCATACTTGAGGCTCGAGAGAGAGATGCCCTGACAGCAGGAGGGAGAGGTCAGATAGGGGGATGCAGACAAGAGTAGAGGTCAGGCGTACCAGATGCTGGGCGGCATCACGCTGCTTGAGGTTGAAGAGAGGCTGCAGGATGGCGGGGGAGAGGCGGATCTGAGTGCTGGGCAAGGGAGGAGGGTCGGGAAGGTCCCGTCTAGGGCGAGGAGCGACGAAGACGGAAGGGCGATCGGGGAGCATTTTACTATTCCAGCAAGGGGGATGAAGGAGGGGGGAAAGGAGGGGGGAAAGGACGGGTAGTGGGGAAGGAGAGGAAGAATAGCTCCTCGGAGTCCCTTCCACCATTCACGGACCCCTCCTTTCCTGGGACTGGATGGGGGGTTTCAAAAAAGGGTTATAGAAATGGAGGGGTGATTTGATGGGGCTTGGACGGGGTCCTCCGATCGCGTAACTTAATATCTTTTAAAACCGTTGAACCAAGGGTTTGCATATTGACTGATATCTTTACTTATCAGGTTGACAGGTTGGAGCCGAGGCGAGCCCGTCGGTGTCGGTGTGGTTGACTCGCAATAAAAATGCTGGGGCGACCAGAGTTGGACTGGAGGAGCTCATGAGGAGCGGGTGGAAGGAGGAGAAGGGAGGCGAAGGATGAAAGAGGACAAAGAGCATGAAGACTGCAGAATCAGGAGAAAGATAAGGAGAAGAGAGCCATGGGGAGAGATACAGGAGCAGTGAGCGTCTGGAGAGGAGAAGGTGACTGGAATAGCTGAATAGCCTAGAGGAGATCATCTTCTCAAGGTGGACCCAGGCGAATCGCATACTTTCAAGCTTAGGTTGAGATTTAACAGTAGGAGAGTATCCTGTTGCACGCACGCATATATTGCTGTCAGTGCTCGCATGCTAAATATCGCTCCGTTAACACAACCTCCACCAGCCCTAGATAAGTCATTGATTATGTATCCCCGACGACCGAGTACCTCAGGCGTCTACCAGCCTGCCAGCAACAAGAAGCCTTTTCGCGATGCTCTCAGACCCCGGACAACTCGTCCTCGCTTGCCTGGCTCCTGGTCAGCAGCTGTCAAGGATGCGGCTGGTCGTCTACCCAACAGACCTGCATCGTCCTCAAGCTTTGCCAGCATGCAGAGCACGCGCCCATCAACTCGCAGCGGACTGATGCTGGAGCTGTGGGATGAGTTCGAAGAGCAAGTACTAGGGACCGTATCACATGCTAGAGCCAACAGGCTTCACACGGTAGAGGATGTCAAGGTGGTCATCGAGGGTGACGGTGGCGACTCTAGTGAAGAGGAAGGAGAGCATTGGTGGGAGGAGGACGTGGAAGCTTGCTGTGAAGGCCTGAGAGCAGAACGTCAAAGTTTGAAGACGAGCAGTCATGTGTTTGCAAGGGTGCGTCTCCGGTGGATCACCATCCCTTTCAAGAATGTAAGAACACTGAAGGGCTGGATGCAAATGACGGAGTTGCAGGCAGACTTTGTGTGGGATGCTGACAGGCTGCTGGACTGGAGCTCGTTGAAGAAGCTCGACCTCACCCACATGATCGTGCATGGATACAAGGAGACAGCTGCATCCAGGTTATCAGAAGGCGCTGCGTGACTAGTTTCTGAAGTGACGTTGGGGGAGCAGAGGATGGTTGGGTTTGAACGTTTTTCAGTGCGGGGCAGGAGCAACAGGCGAGGAGGACGTTTGTGTCTGTCATCCGTACTCGTCAAGATTGTTTGAGGAGATGCTACAAGATGAGGTGAGCACTGATCTGCTGACAACGATGTATACCACATGCTGATCGTGGGGAGTAGGAAAGTTTACGATCTATCATGAGTCAAGAGGACGCAGCGGGGCCGGGCAAGCGATCGTTGCAAGAGTGCCTGGAGCGGTTGTCGGGGATTGCAGACAGGCTGCTGGACACGTGCATAGAGCTGGCCCTGAGTGGAAAACGACTCAGCGAGGCGTTTGACCTGTGTAAGTTTGACGTGAGTCGTCTATCTGTATGTCACGGCCTAGCCTCTCGGCTAGTAGCCTCTGTCGTCGTGTCTGTGCATGTCGGTCTGCCGTGGAGGCGTGTGAGCTCGCCTCAGGTGTCTTGACATGCGTGAAGCTCTCCTGCAACCTCGCCAGCTGGAGGCAGAGGCTCCTCAACGCCCACAAGTCGCTCGTGCTGGACGAGATGACCCGACCTCTCCGCCTGGTCGACATGGGCCACCTGTCCCCCAGCAGCGTCTACTCGATCGCCGTCTTCTATTGCCTGTCATGCTTCTACTCGAGGGAGGGAGACTTCTTCAGAGCGCACGTGTAGGAGGAGCAGGGAGGACGGGGCTGGCGGGGAGGTGACGAGGAACGACAGGGCGACGGATCGATGCATACTGGCATGCAGAGAGTCGAGCGACGACAACGGGTTGGAGGACATGAAGCTGGTGAGGAGGGCAGGAGAGGAGGAGAGAGGAGGAGGATGTGACTGGGAGGGGTGGGAGACAGCTTAGGCTGCACATGTCGTGGGTGTGGAAGGATCAGAAGGCGACGTACATGCTGAAGGAGGGGCGAGGGCTGCTTGGGCTGAAGGGAAGTCAGGAGAGTGTCAAGGCAGCAGGCAAGTAGGGGAGAGGGGCGTGGCGTCCGGGGCTGATATGAGAGAGTGATGACAGAAAGCACCATGTTGTTGCTGAGAAGGAATCGTCACAGCAGGAGGGTTTGGTTTCTTGACGAGGAGGATTTGAGCTGGAGGATACTTCATGCCCGCTGGTTGTGCTGCCTGAGCTTCCTGTTCATAGGTTTGGCAAGTGGCAGGGAGGGAGGAGAGCTGAGAAAGTGAATGAGCAGGATCGTACCAAGAGGCGTTGAGAGTCAGTTTGCAGGCTCTTCTTGATGTGTCGCGGTATGTGAGGTCTTATTCTCTTGGCCGTTTCTCTTCCCTCCCTCCCTCCCTCCCTCCCTCCCTCCCTCCCTCCCTCCCTCCCTCCCTCCCTCCTCCATGATCCTTGCCCTCACACTTGCTTCATCTTCCTTGCCTATCTGACTGTCGTTCAATGCTTCCCCTTGATTATCGTGTTGATCTCCTGGAGCAGCAGGTGCAGCAAGTCAACGGCAAAGGACGAGGAGCTTGTAGAAAATCTCATCCTCCTCCAGGCCCTCAGCAGAGCTTGTCTGGACGAGGAGATGGAGGGATGGGCAATCGGTAGGAAACCACAAGGACTGAAAAGGAAGCCGCACACACAGATAGGACGAGGAGAGCGAGATTGGATGGGGGAACCAACGGAATGGAAGCGAGAAAGGGGTTTACATGCTCAGATTACGAAGGAACGTAAGAAGATGAGAGATAGAGAAGGGAGGAGGGGGAGGAAAAAGATGGTAGTGGAAATGGAAATCAACGGAGCGGAACAGGAGGGAAGGGAAGGGGAAAGAAGGAGAGGGGAGGGAATGCAGTAGAAGAGAAAGGAAGGGTTGGAGGGAAACGAGTGGTAAAGGTAGGGAGTATGAGAACTGAGCAGAGAAGAAGAAAAGACTTCAAGAAAATGACTATATGGCGACTTTCCAGATCGTGTGGACGACTTGCGGCAACTGATCACGAGCGAGAAATCGTGCGATTTCAGCCTGCGCAGGCAGGGTACTTCGTCGTTCTCGTCAGAAGAGGAAGAGGGCAGGAGGGCTGAGAGCTTTTCTTCCAACCACATGACGCAGCTGCTGAGGCATGTCTCCCCCCGCCCCTCCCCTCTCCCTCTCCCTCTCCCTCTCCCTCTCCCTCTCCCTCTCCCTCTCCCTCTCCCTCTCCCTCTCCCCCTTCACCTTCCCTTCCCTTCCCCTCTTCAATCTCCTCCTCCTGCATCTTCCTAAACTTGAGCTCTCTTTACCCACCCTGCTGCATACACCCTTCTTCCTTGATCCTACACTCGTGCTGGTTCAGCGGTTCCCAGCAGCGATCCTCTCCCTCCCTCTTGCCCTCCCTCTCCTTTCTCTCTCGATCCGTTGTTTGCTTCTCCTTTCCTTCTCCTCCCTCTCTCCCTCTTTTCTCTCTCCCTCCCTTTCCCCCTCCCTCTCTTCCTTTCGCCCTCTCTCCCTCCTCTTGTATTCTCTCCCTCATCTCCTCTCTCTCCCATTCTCCCGGCCATTCGCTCCTCTGCTCATTCCAAACTCTCCTGCCCTGTCAGCTCTTTCATTCTTTCCTTCCTTCCTTTTTCTCTCACCCTTCTGTCACCTCGGCAGGACATGCAAGTGCGGCATCGCCCTTTGCAAGCTCATCGACTCTTCCTACAAGCCTATGGGTTGGAGCAACATGCAACCTGTCGACGTCGGGGGGCACTGGTGAACTAATCTCCCTCCTACGCCTCCATCTCCTTGTTCATTCCTCCAGTTTCGTTGGTCTCTTTCGTCCTCCTCCTCCTCCTCCTCCTTCCCCCCTCCCTCCTCCCGTTGTTCTCGACCCTCTCCATCCTCCTCCTCTCCAATCCTTGTCCTTCCTCCTCCAGTCTCTCCTCGCCTCTCTTCGTCTTTCTCGTCGCTGCTTCACAGCGTTGAGGTCACGAGGCAGGTCGGATCGCTTCATTTTAAGTGGGAGAACAAAAGTGTGACCGATGATCGCCTGGCAAGCTAGGAAACACACACAAAGAAGCTGCGAAACATCTCAGAGCTTCGATGAGACCGCTGATTCCTGGTGGAGGGAAACGTCCAGATCTCCTCTATACAGAGGAAGGATGATAAGATCAGCTGTGGGGGCAGCCACGAGAGGCAGGGAAGGAGTAGGGCGAGTGATCAGCCTTGATGAGTTCAAACGTTGAAGAGGAGGAAGGGATCGGTCAAAAGAGGCAGGGAAGCAGTTTGGTTCTAGTATTGATACGACACGATACGATTGATATTACACTATGATGGTGATATGACTAGGTAACGGTGATGTGACACAATAACGGACGGCTTGAAGCTGAGCGTGGCTACGTCTGATCTCTCTATGCTACACAACCCTCTGCGCGCTCAGCATGCTCGGGCTGACGTTGACTTCTCTCCCGTCGCTAGCGAGCGGAACTACGATGTTGGGGACTGAATGATGGCGAGGAGGGAAGCGTGATAGGTTCTTCTGCAGCCTCTCCAGCAGCTCCTTCTGCTGCTCGGTATGCTTGTCCTCGCTGTCCATCCTCGATCTGCTTGCACTCGGAGTAGCCGTGCTGCCTCCTCCTCCTCCTCCTCCTCCTCCTCCCTTCCCGTAGGTGGCCAACGTCTGATATGCTAACCTATTGCGTCGTTGCACATTACTTCGCTCCTCCTCCCTCCCATCACCACCGCCTGCTGCTCTTGCGGGCTCTGCAAGTCGACGCGAGCTGCTCGCGCTCTTGTCGCTGCTGCCAACCATCTGCTCGAGGTAAGCTGTCTCCGTCCTCCCTCCCAGCATCTTCTTGGCGTCTTGGAGGGTGACAGGGATCTCGAACTTGTGGTCGCGATCCGTCAGGTAGAGCGTATCCCCATCCTGCATGCTCGCGCTTGCGCTCGTCCTGGAGCTCCTCCCTCCTCCCACGTCTCCCTTCCTCTTGTCTTGCTGGATGGCGTGGCTGGGATAATGCACAGGCCGCACGGGAGCGGTAGAGATTGGCGTGGAGTATCTCATGTCCCTGCCATCGGACTTGGGATGGCAGAGCTCGTTGCATGTGAGGGTCCAGATTGAGGATTCAACTCCGACGGCCTTGCGTGATGGCAAAGTGCTTGAGGAGTTTCCCATAAGAAATTATTCAGATTTGTTCCTGCATGAAACTCAGCTCAAAGCCAGCCATGAAACTTATCCCTTGCCTATTCTGCATTGATCCTCTCCTATCATTCGTCTCATTATGTTCATTTTAATCTCATTTTCTTGCCTTCCCACTCCTCTCAACGACGAATTCCTTCTTGTACCATAGTTCCAAGTTTGGCTCTGCGCTCAGTTGCTTCCCCCTCCTCTCCTCCTCTCCTCCTCTCACCCCACCTCCCTTCCCTCTCCTTGATATCCTTGCCATATTTTTTTCTCCTTCCTCTCCTCTCTCCCTCCTTCCTCTCCGTCATTGTCCATCTTGTCGCTAGTTTCTTGCTCATTTTTCTCCTCTCCCTCGGAGTCCTCCCGCACGGACCCCCCACCCCCTCACTTGGAAAACCTCCGTTATCCGAACTCGAGTCGCACACCAGTACCCCATCCATGCCTTGTAAAAACACCCGTACAAGGACTTTCAAGATCTCCGTACCCCCTCGCTTTAAGGGTAACTACCCCCCCTTTTAGCGGTCAAAGTCATCGGCGGAGCGGAGGACCCCTACCCCCTTGGTGAGTGCAGAGTGAAAGCGGCCGGTCATTGTGATAATGACTACTACTGGCTGCTTGAGCTAAACCTGATGAGAAACTAAACCATATGAACTAAACTCAGTGGGGGGTCACGTACAACAAGGACAACCACAATTCACAACATTTACAACTTTCGGGTAGTTTCTAAACTGACAGTTTGTACCAGAGCCCTAACTGTTAACAGTATACCGGACCCACCTACTGTTCAGCACATAGTCAGCACGAGCTTGGGCTGCGCCTTCTCCTTCCAACTGCGGACACGTAAGACAATTAGGGCAGCAACAGCCACAGGGGCAAAATAGCAAGGAATACTTGATGAAGATCTGTTGTATGATGTACTTCTCGCTCTTCCCCTGTAGATGTAGAATTCTAAGACAAGCCAAGCAGTGTAAGTTTGAAGAAAAATGGCCCTGAGTTGTTTCTTACCCTTTCGTGATCACCGTCAATCTGATGACATATCGACTCCACCCTTTGGTACGAATCAGATAAGACAAGACAAGACAAGACAAGACAAGACAAGACAAGGTTGATTACCTAGGTATGCTTCCTCCATCAATGTTCTCCCCGACTTTGACGTCCAGAAATGACTCAAGTTTTCCTTGTTCAGAAGCAGTGCCTCCTCCTTGTCGAGTTCCTGCCGAATCTCCCAAGATCACAGTCTCATCGTTCAGTTCACAATGACTTACCTGCATTGACTCCAAACCTGAGGGACCGGATGGGATGGAGACGAAGACGTCCCGAATCGAGATATCTGACTTGGCACTGCAGCACCAATGGTTCCGTTTGGTCTTGAAGAATTTCTTGTTGGACAGTTGGAAGCAGTCTGACTTCAATGCAAGAATGCTGTCGAACTGCTGCAAGCTATGAGCACATTCTACCTGGCAATCCAAGACCAAATGCATCCTGGCATTCCCTGGAAATGAGATCCGATCGATCTCAACGGAGAAGATCTTGGCCAAATCCAAGAGCACTCGGCCTCTGATTTCTTGCATGTCGAACGACGAGGGTTTGGCTAGATCAAAGAAAATAGAGAAAGTAGCGGAGTCCACGGCCAGACTTGTAGCTCCGCCTGATTCCCAGGCCTCCCACACGCTTTCATGTCTGAGTTGTGAAATGACGGATGTAAAATGAGACCACCGATCAAAACACTGCCGCTCCAGCGGAGACACCCACCGCCCGATCACCATCATCAAAACAGAGTTGCGGTATCGTAAATACGATATGACGTCAAAAAAGTGGTCGAAGGCCGCCGCCAGCTTCGTGTGTAGCATGCGGTCGATCACCCGCCTGCATAGATCCCTCCGGTCCTTGCACTGCCTGACCCGCTCTACGAAGGAGTCGAACGCCGTCGCCAGCTGGATGTGGAACATCCGTAGCACCACCCGCCGGCTGATCTCGGTACGGCGGTCCTGCTCTCTCCTCACATAGTCTTGGTTCAGGCTGACCTCGTTGCGTAGTGAAAGTAACTGCTCGTGAAGCCTTTCCTGCGCCTCTTCCTTCTCGCAAGCTCGCATATACTCTACGTAGTCCAGCCAGCGGTCGAAGCACTGCCGCTCCAGCGGAGACACCCACCGCCCGATCACGTTCGCAATCACCTTCTTTTGAGCTTGAGACTTGTCAATCATCTCCCTGAAGCGGTCGAAGGCCGCCGCCAGCTTTGTGTGTAGCATGCGGTCGATCACCCGCCTGCATAGATCCCTCCGGTCCTTGCACTGCCTGACCCGCTCTACGAAGGAGTCAAACGCCGTCGCCAGCTGGATGTGGAACATCCGTAGCACCACCCGCCGGCTGATCTCGGTACGGCGGTCCTGCTCTCTCCTGACGTAGTCTTGGTTCAGGCTGACCTCGTTGCGTAGTGAAAGTAACTGCTCGTGAAGCCTTTCCTGCGCCTCTTCCTTCTCGCAAGCTCGCATATACTCTACGTAGTCCAGCCAGCGGTCGAAGCACTGCCGCTCCAGCGGAGACACCCACCGCCCGATCACGTTCGCAATCACCTTCTTTTGAGCTTGAGACTTGTCAATCATCTCCCTGAAGCGGTCGAAGGCCGCCGCCAGCTTGGTGTGTAGCATGCGGTCGATCACCCGCCTGCATAGATCCCTCCGGTCCTTGCACTGCCTGACCCGCTCTACGAACGATTGAAACGCAGTTGACAGTTGCAGGTTCATCATTCGATGCAAGATCTTTTTAACGGAATCCATCTTGCTTGCTTGTATGCGTGAGATAGATTCTTCAAAATGTTCCTTCATGCTTTGAATTGTTTGTTTCAATTGATCAGTGGCGTCTTCATGTCTTGATCGCTTGGAAAGTTCTTTGTATTCTATCCAGCGGTCGAAGCACTGCCGCTCGAGTGGGGTCAACCAATGAGAAAGTGCTGAATGCAAAGCATTTCGTTGATATGCACAATTTTGACAGCCTTCAACAAAGTGGTCAAAGGCCGCCGCCAGCTTCGTGTGTAGCATGCGGTCGATCACCCGCCTGCATAGATCCCTCCGGTCCTTGCACTGCCTGACCCGCTCTGCGAAGGAGTCGAACGCCGTCGCCAGCTGGATGTGGAACATCCGTAGCACCACCCGCCGGCTGATCTCTGTCCTTCGCTGAATCTCAGAATCTAACGCATCTTTACGTGTGGATACTTCCAAAGCGAAATCATTTTGAATTTTGCTTTGCGCCTCTTCCTTCTCGCAAGCTCGCATATACTCTACGTAGTCCAGCCAGCGGTCGAAGCACTGCCGCTCCAGCGGAGACACCCACCGCCCGATCACGTTCGCAATTACCGTCCTCTTTGCTCTCAGACCTTTCGTGGCCTCGACAAACCGATCGAAGGCCGCCGCCAGCTTCGTGTGTAGCATGCGGTCGATCACCCGCCTGCATAGATCCCTCCGGTCCTTACACTGCCTGACCCGCTCTACGAAGGAGTCGAACGCCGTCGCCAGCTGGATGTGGAACATCCGTAGCACCACCCGCCGGCTGATCTCGGTACGGCGGTCCTGCTCTCTCCTCACATATCTTTACGTGTGGATACTTCCAAAGCGAAATCATTTTGAATTTTGCTTTGCGCCTCTTCCTTCTCGCAAGCTCGCATATACTCTACGTAGTCCAGCCAGCGGTCGAAGCACTGCCGCTCCAGCGGAGACACCCACCGCCCGATCACGTTCGCAATCACCTTCTTTTGAGCTTGAGACTTGTCAATCATCTCCCTGAAGCGGTCGAAGGCCGCCGCCAGCTTCGTGTGTAGCATGCGGTCGATCACCCGCCTGCATAGATCCCTCCGGTCCTTGCACTGCCTGACCCGCTCTACGAAGGAGTCGAACGCCGTCGCCAGCTGGATGTGGAACATCCGTAGCACCACCCGCCGGCTGATCTCGGTACGGCGGTCCTGCTCTCTCCTGACGTAGTCTTGGTTCAGGCTGACCTCGAGCTCGAGCTCTTTTTTCAGCCTTTCCTGCGCCTCTTCCTTCTCGCAAGCTTGCATATACTCTACGTAGTCCAGCCAGCGGTCGAAGCACTGCCGCTCCAGCGGAGACACCCACCGCCCGATCACGTTCGCAATCACCTTCTTTTGAGCTTGAGACTTGTCAATCATCTCCCTGAAGCGGTCGAAGGCCGCCGCCAGCTTTGTGTGTAGCATGCGGTCGATCACCCGCCTGCATAGATCCCTCCGGTCCTTGCACTGCCTGACCCGCTCTACGAAGGAGTCGAACGCCGTCGCCAGCTGGATGTGGAACATCCGTAGCACCACCCGCCGGCTGATCTCGGTACGGCGGTCCTGCTCTCTCCTGACGTAGTCTTGGTTCAGGCTGACCTCGTTGCGTAGTGAAAGTAACTGCTCGTGAAGCCTTTCCTGCGCCTCTTCCTTCTCGCAAGCTCGCATATACTCTACGTAGTCCAGCCAGCGGTCGAAGCACTGCCGCTCCAGCGGAGACACCCACCGCCCGATCACGTTCGCAATCACCTTCTTTTGAGCTTGAGACTTGTCAATCATCTCCCTGAAGCGGTCGAAGGCCGCCGCCAGCTTGGTGTGTAGCATGCGGTCGATCACCCGCCTGCATAGATCCCTCCGGTCCTTGCACTGCCTGACCCGCTCTACGAACGATTGAAACGCAGTTGACAGTTGCAGGTTCATCATTCGATGCAAGATCTTTTTAACGGAATCCATCTTGCTTGCTTGTATGCGTGAGATAGATTCTTCAAAATGTTCCTTCATGCTTTGAATTGTTTGTTTCAATTGATCAGTGGCGTCTTCATGTCTTGATCGCTTGGAAAGTTCTTTGTATTCTATCCAGCGGTCGAAGCACTGCCGCTCCAGCGGAGACACCCACCGCCCGATCACGTTCGCAATTACCGTCCTATGCACAATTTTGACAGCCTTCAACAAAGTGGTCAAAGGCCGCCGCCAGCTTCGTGTGTAGCATGCGGTCGATCACCCGCCTGCATAGATCCCTCCGGTCCTTGCACTGCCTGACCCGCTCTACGAAGGAGTCGAACGCCGTCGCCAGCTGGATGTGGAACATCCGTAGCACCACCCGCCGGCTGATCTCGGTACGGCGGTCCTGCTCTCTCCTGACGTAGTCTTGGTTCAGGCTGACCTCGAGCTCGAGCTCTTTTTTCAGCCTTTCCTGCGCCTCTTCCTTCTCGCAAGCTCGCATATACTCTACGTAGTCCAGCCAGCGGTCGAAGCACTGCCGCTCCAGCGGAGACACCCACCGCCCGATCACGTTCGCAATCACCTTCTTTTGAGCTTGAGACTTGTCAATCATCTCCCTGAAGCGGTCGAAGGCCGCCGCCAGCTTGGTGTGTAGCATGCGGTCGATCACCCGCCTGCATAGATCCCTCCGGTCCTTGCACTGCCTGACCCGCTCTACGAAGGAGTCGAACGCCGTCGCCAGCTGGATGTGCAGCATTCTTTTGATCATTTTCTGACTCACATTTACAAGACGATTGTGTATCCATTCTGATTTGCTGGAGAAATGATTGATGTCAGACTTCAGCTGTGATTCTTTGTCTTCCAAAATCTTTGACTCAGCCTCTGTGTGCCACGATAACAACAGCCTTCTCATTGAATTGCCTTCTTTCTTCTTCTGAATTTTGTGCTCGATTGTCTTGAGGGATACCTTTTGCAATTTAAAGGATTTCCATGCCCAGAGGGAGGATCGGATCATTCTTCTCAAATATACTATGTAGTACTTGATATCTCGTGATCTCCAGCTGCGAAGTGCTTTTGTATTGACTCTCCATCGACCGAAGAAGATGCTGATTGTCAAACAACCTCTCAATATTCTTTTGAGTAGCTTTAGCTGCAGAGACTTGCGATGCACATCTTCGAGTTTGCTCACGACCACTTTGAAAGCCGATGCCAATCTGCATCGCTGCGATCGTGATTCAATCAAATTTGCCTTGACATCCAGCATCCGCTCTTGAAGAATTACACCTTGCAACGTTCAAATTCATCATCTCAGCTTGACACTCTTTTTAATATCACCTGACCACTTTTTGAAGGTCGTCACAAGCCTTCCGAATTCACAAGATTTTTTTTTTGTATCAGCAAGTCGCCTGCTTCTCTGATTGCTTTTAAAGAATTCGTTGGAGATGACGTGTTGCGACGATTCTTTTGTCAAGCTCTGCCTTCTTTTGAGCGCATTTCTTTGAAAAAAGATTAGAAATTTAAATAGATAGGGGATAACAAAGTTCACCGAATCATAGTTTGGCGGTATTCTTCTAAACTCCGCTTTGCCTCTTCCAATTCTTGTTGCAAGCAATGATGCTTCGCAAGAAATGATTTTCTTTCATTCTCATAGGTCTTGAGTGTGGCTTCATTCAATGTCAATTTTCGTCTGAGTATAATTTGTTCGGTCTCAAGAATTTCCAACAATTTTTGCTGATCTGCAAATTATTGTGAGCACTAGAAATTTTTCAATTATGCACAATGAACCGTCTCCATTCTGTAGCTCTGACTTGATTTCCTTTGAACCGTTGCTAATTCGGCCTTGTTCTAACACCTTTGAACATTTGTCAACAATACCATCCAACCCATATCGAAATTGTACTTGTTGCGTTGTCCTGAGCCTTTCTATCTGCAAGAATAATTCAACAACAGTGCAAAGTAAATCAATCTAGTTCCCTACTTCTTGCAGCATATCGTTCTTCTCAATTTGAAAATCTTTCGCTTGAACATTGAGCTGCTGAGTCAATGTTGAGTTCAAAACCTTTTGGTGATGCAATTCATTGCTGACTTGGAGAAGAGATGTTCTGTTGCGTTCTGATTCTTCCAGGATCATCCTGGTAGAATCCAACTCTTGTTCCAAGTTCTTGATCTTCAATTCCAATTCACTAGCATAGGTCAAAAGCTTATAATTCCCATCTGCACGAAGCGCCTCTAGCAGAGCAACCCTGTCGCTTTCCAACTCCGAGATCTTGAACATCGCATCTTCATAGCTCTTTCTGAGCTGATCGTAGTCATTCAAAGTGTCTTCTAACTTGTGTCGAACATACTTGATCGCTTTCCTTGCATGCTCTGATAGCAGTTTGAGAAGCAAAGGTGAGGGTCTGAAAGCGAGCATTGGGAGAATCTCACCATCTTCGTAGCCTTGAGATTTGTTGACAATTTTTTGGATTTGATACGAAGCAAGGGAAAGTAAAGTTCCTGCATGCTTCTTTCAGGAAACCAAAGAAAAATGGAGGAAAGGCTCTCTCAGGCAGTTGTGTAAACCTCACTTCCGAAAACGATCAACAGCGTTGAACGCTTACAACCACACTTTCATCCCGTCTGCATCGCTACCTAGCTCAGACTGACATGATTCATTTCAGTTCGTCAGTTAGTGTATTATCTACATTCTTAAAACTCCCTAACAACCCTTGATTGAAACGTCCCTCAAAATCCCGCCCAAAAAACCATGCTAAACACTTCAAGTAAAGGAGCTTCAAAACAACATGCTTCTCAGCATCGCAGGCAGCTGTTCAGAAGGAGCTCTTCACTTCACCTGCATCAAGTTGTCCAAGACAGGCTTCCACCTCCTCATCCCTCGCGCCATGAAGCAGCCCAGCCAATTCCTCTACCTTGCCCATGGCCGTCTTTCCGTCTGCCCAATGATCACTACTTGACCCCTCCCTTGAGTCCACCACCGATATATTACCTCAACCACCGGTACATGCTATTTACCAAAGTACCCCTCTTTGAAAGAGTATGTACCCCGTTCTTTCTTCGATCACCCCACCCCTAGTCGGTGTCAAGTTAGTACCCTACCCTCCGCATTTAGTCTAGGGGTCGGGATCTGACCCATCGGTGTCCTCAGGTCACCACAATTCACTGCCCCCGAACCCCCCTGGGGCAGTACCCCTCTTATCCCCCTTGCCGTAGCGCAGGGGTCATTGATTGGTATCACCCACCCTTTCTATAGTGGATTTCGTATGAAAGATGGGGGTACTTGACATAGCAGGTGACAACCGTTGCATGTCAAACCCTGACAAACCACATCTCGATATTTCAGTCAACAAATAAGATCAAGCTTGCCTCAGAGTTTGTCGATCTTTTCAGTGGCATACTACTTCCTAGTTCGCCGAAGGCCTTTCTTCCCTTCACTGCAGGTACGGATGGTCTTCTTCATGTTCCGACTCAGACGCTTTGCGGTTGCTCTGGTACCTGGACAGTGAAGCGGCCAGGGTCCCCATACACCGCCTCCCGGAGTCCTGAGCGCGGCGCATCCATCCCACTCCGCTGACGGTCACGGGTTGGTATAGCGGTTTTTGCTGCCTCCTTCGTTTCCTTGGCATTTTATTGAGGCGGCCGGGTTTGTAGCCCGGCGGGCTTTATCCTCCCCCTGTGATCATCCGATGATCGGATCTTTCACTTAACTTTGAGTAAAGGTCGCATGGCCTGTCGGCGGCGGCCACCGCGACATCGCTGGCATGGCCGCGCGGGGGACTTGTCCTGCGCGCCGTTAAGTGAAGGTATCAGTTAAGTTTGGGGGACAGCAGTCGGCAGGTTTAGGTTTGGTTCTCGCTGTCTTTTCTCTTCTCGCCGTTTGGCCTGTGCGACAGTGAGTGTCAGGGTCAAGCCTCCTCGACTCTCCTGATTGTCCTCGTACTGATTTTTAACTTAACTTTGAGTAAAGAGAAGACGGGGGGCCCATGAGAGGCCTTAAAAAATTCACTTTGCCAAGTTGGGGGGCAGCAGTCACTGAGTGGGCATCCGTTCCGGCTCCGGGAGTCCCCCCGGCCCGGCCCGACCGTATCGGACGGCGGCCGCCGGTCCCGGCGCCGCTCAGAGGCCGGCGAGCTGGCCCGGGGCCGAGTACTGAGCAGCCTCCAGCTACCCCCACCCCCCAACACCGACTCCGAACTCTCGTCTACCCCATCGTGTAACTCCTACCCCCCCATCTGACCATCTACACTACCCAATGAATCCTCTTACAGTACCCCCTAAATCCTACATACCCCTACCTTTACTTTTAATCCATCGGGTTCTGCCACATCCCTAGCAATGCCGTCGGGGAGGGGGGCACGGGAGCGACGGCGACAAGCGCGGGAGCATCTGCAGCAGAAATATGCAGAGGAGATGAACAGGGAAGAAGTATCATACCCTTCCTCCCTCCAGCCTCCCCTGCCGACTCCATCTCCTTCTCTTTCCCGAGGCGACACGGAGCTTGTCCCCCTTCCTCCTGTTGCTCCTGATCAGCAGAACAGCCCTTTCCCTCCAGCAGAGCATCAGCATGGATCGGACGTTTATTCTGTCTCTTTTCTCAGGAACAACATGTCAGTTCCATCTCATCTTGCTACAAGCTCAGAATCTTGGGGTGGAATGAGAAGACCGCCCCCACGTGCTCCGGGTTGGGAATGGAATGCGACTGAAGGGGAGCAGGACAGGAGTCCAACTGCGCTTGCACATCATTCCTTCATGCAAGTCCATCCAGCCATGATGAGCGAGGAAACCTCTCACCATGCGATGGAGGGTTCCATGAACTGCAACCCACCATTCTTCCCTCCCCCCTTCTCACAGCAGTTCCACACCGCGGCGTTCTTTCCTTTTGGCTCTCCGTCCATTGCAGCCCCGCAGCCTCATCCTTCTCTTCCTATTGATCACCCCCATGGAGTTTTCTTCTATCCTCCTCTTCTTCCTCATCCTCATCCCACAGCTGCGCAGATCGTCTTTCATGGAGCACCGAACCCGCTTCACCCTCATCCTCTCATGCCTCCTGCGATGCAGGAAACGCACTCCAGCCTGCCAGAGCAGCACATGCCATTCCCCGTGCACAACCGACTGTGTCATCCTTATGGCAGCAGCTTCTATGATCCAGTGAGCGGGACAGGATCGTCGACGAGCCTAGAGCCAAACCGCGACCTGCTAAGAAACGAAGAGAAGCAGGACCACGGGCCCTCTCCACAACAGGTAAGGACATCAGTCCTCCAAACGATGGACGAGCAGGGAGATGGAAGCAGGAGCACGAAGAAGAGAATCTTGACAAGGAAACCGGAGAGTCCCGATCGGAAACCCTCCAATAGACCGGAGGAGAGGCGAGAGGTCGGACTGAGGAAGGGATTTCCTCAAGCAGCGGATGCTCTGGATGTCAACAGGAGGCCCCTGATCAACAATGAAGCAAAGAGGAAGAAGCGGGAGGTCCCGACGAAGCAGCGGAGCGGTCCTCGACCCGGCAACGTTGACGTGCAGTACGACGACCATCTGCCTGAGGACGCGGTGGAGCAGCTGGAGAGGCTGCTGGACGAGGTGGTGAGAGCTGACAGGGACATGGAGAACCTCTCGCAGGAGCTCCGCGGACTGAATCTCTCCATGGACGGGGAGAGCTGGAGGAGGACGGACGACGAGACTTCCCTGCTCGAGAGCGGGGAGGAGCGGCTGCTGGCCCTCGACCTCAGCCCTGACTCTCCGATCTTCTCCTTGGACCAAGGGGCTACCCACACATGCCACACGCTCAAGACGCACGAGATGCAGGGCGACAGGAGCTTCAACCTCGACGTCTCCGCTGAGTCTGCGTACGCCAGGGAGGTCGAGGAGGGAAGAGGTGACGGTGGTCAGGACAGTTTGGAAGAGGGTGTGAGCTTACAGGAAGCCCCGGACCCGGAGGCAGACGCGAGCATGAGAAGAACCCTCCACCGATCGCACAGCGACACCGATGCGCTCACGTCCCCTTCTCACACGGAAAGCAGCCGGAAACGAGAGCTGAAGAAATCTCGAGCTAGCAAGCGAAGCATGGTGCCCGAGAGCCCCAGGAGCGTAGGGGATCCGCTGCTAGAGAGCGAGCAAGACCTTCTCCTCGAGTGCTCCACCATCCTCTCATACGAGATGGACAAGCTGAACAGAAGTGGATTCGTGCGATACAACGGATTCTTCCCGTGAGTAGCATGTCATGTTCATGTGACGATCGGGCTGCCTGCCTGCCTGCCTGCCTGCTGCCTGCTTTCTGTTTCCGACATGCAGTTCTGTATCCAACATGCTCACTCATCTTGTCGTTCAGATCGAAGATCAAGAAGCTGGAGAGGATCCTCAATGCTCTGACGCAGGAGGACGACGATCTTAACGCCCTTCACATGGAGGTGACCACTAGGATGCAAGTCCCCCCAGCTCTTCTGACCTTGCCATGTACAGCTCCGCAGCACCTTGTACGAGGAGTCTGAAACCGTGAGGGCAAGTACCCCATGAGGACATTTTATTGTACATGTTTCAAAATTCTCAACACAACGCATACAAAACCTTTCGTAGCCACAATCAAACTTGCTGATGCTCCAAGACTGGCACCTCTCGGTCTCTCAGCTCCTCACGAGAGCATCATCACCCGCGTCCTCCACCGGACATCATCTCGCCTCTTGGCATCGGGTGGAACATACTCCTTGATCACCTGCCCGCAGCATGACAAGTGGGTTGTCAACGCAGCCTCTCCCTCTACCCACCTGGTTTGCCTCCACTCTGTCCGTCTTTCTCGGCTGATGGGCAGAGTTTCAGATCACTTGGCAAGGAGTAGCCACGTCCTACCTGATAAACGTCCGTCCACTTCGCGCAGTCACGAACGCTGATGCGCTCGCGCGTGCGAGGCTTGGAAGAAGGGACCACGTAGTCACTCGTTCCCATGCTGTTCTGTAGAGGATGTGTCGCCTTCCAGATCTGCCTCTCAATCGGCGGCTGCAAGCTGCTCGGCTTCACGTAACTTCTGCTCTGCCGTGAGCTGGGGAGCGAAACGTCCCAGCACTGAAAGAAGGGTCAGGAAGAGACTTCGGACGGGGAGGCGGCGAGCTTACCTGCTTCATCTTCATGTATCCTGCCACAGGATCGCTCTTCTTCTGCAGCCTGCCGTACATCTGCGTTGACGGACGGATGACACCGCTTGAGCATGACTTGACGCTGCTGATCGAACAGACCGACCTCGACAGCTCGTTTGGCGCCTTCGGCTGCCTGCCGCTGTCGGGGACGACATTCTCCTTCTCCTCTTCACTGCCATCGCCATCATAGTGCATGCCATGCAAGCTCTGTCGGTCCTCTGCCTCCACCTTCCTCTGCCTCTCATACGACGTGTGCGGCCTTCGTGTACGCAGCATGTTCTTGGCGTCAGCGTACTGGCCGATCTCAGGTTCCTGGGCCTGCTTGCTTACTTTCTGCTTCTCTTGCAGTGGGGCTGGGATGTCTTCAGCTGCCTTCGAGCGGATTCTTCTCGAAAGTTCTTCTCTGAACTCATCCAGCACATCATCTGGAACCTCCACGTATCCAAGATCGGCCAGATGACTCCGGACCTGAGCAACGGTATCAACGCGTGAGCGAGCAGCGGGGGATGTACAGACCATCTCTAGAGAAATTTCTTGTGCCATGCTGAGATCGGATTTCTGCCTGTGGAAGACACAGCGTGAGAACACAGAGAGAGACTGGCTGTAGGGATGTTCTATCTGGTCCATTGGAGGTATGATCAAAGGAGCAGGAGTTCATATGAAAGCATCTGTTTCATGTTCTTTCTCCACAAGCTCTTGCTTGTCTCCTGCATTGACCTCTCTCCCCTCCCTCTCCCTGCCCCCTCCTCCCTCTCCCTGCCCCCTCCTCCCTCTCCCTGCCCCCTCCTCCCTCTCCCTGCCCCCTCCTCCCTCTCCCCCGCATCCTGTCTCCGTTCCCGTCATTGGCGAGCATCGAACAGATTGCAGCTCTTCAGTAGGGGTGTGGTTCCATCAACTTTAAATATATTCAAATATTAAAACCTTATCCCAATTCTTGTGGGTAATTTTGAAAACATTTTAAAAGAACTTGATAATTTCAAAAGTAATCTAGGGGTGGGTGGGGGTGGCTCAATACAGAAGGGCGTTTTGGCGGGAAGGAGGAACGAAAGGATCGGATAGGACAAGCAGGTGTAGGAGGGTAGGAGGCTAAGAGGAATCGAAGGGAGGGAGAAGGAGCGTAAGAGCGAAGGAGAAGGGTAGAGCCGGTTCCATGAACGCGATCGAATCTGTACAATGTATTCCTGTGCTCTAAAACTCGTTCCCTCTGGCCGATCCATCATGTATACATCAGAAAGAGCTGTCCATTTGAATCCTTCATTATGAGAAACACTGATTGTCTACCTTAACACCTCCCTCAATCCTAAACCTCGTCCTCGTCCGTCGCCCTCATGTACTCCGCAAGCCACTCTGCCTCTATTCCCCCCGTCGTCCCCTCCTCTCCCCGCTCCACCATCCGCCAGGGTCCTCCTGTCCCTCCCCATGCGCGAGCGCCGGAGGTCTGAGCAGCGGGCAGAAAGGCTGAGGGCTGGGCTTGGGGTCGTCCGGGCGGCGGGCCAACAAGCTCGGAGGCAGTGGGTGACACGTCAGTCGCTGGTGCATCAGGTGATGATGACGACGGTGATGATGGTGAGGAGGAGGAAGCGTCTTTCTTCTCGCCCCCTGCCTTGCCCCCCCGCCTCTCCTCCCCCCTGCCCTCCCCGCCAACGAGCGATGCCGAGCCTCCTGCAGGCAGTCTTGAGGCTGGTGAGGGAGATGCCCTGGCAGGAGGAGGAAGCGCAGTCAGCATCGGGCAGTGAGGGAAGGAGGAGGGGCAGGGGAGCAGAATTGGATAGAGGACGAGTGGTCCAGAAAGTCTTGACGAGGTTGAGGAACGACGAAGACCGAGGGGGAGGCAGGAGACAGCATGTCAGGAGCAGAGGGAGGAGGGGTCATGTTAACGGAGAGGGGGACTGGTAGGGTGAGACAAGAAACAGGGAAGGGGCCGGGAGGGAGAGGGGGGGGCAAAGGAAAATTCTGTAAAAGGAAGCGGTGCAATTGAGAAACGTCGCCCTTTTCGATGTTTCAGTTTGCGAGAAATGCCTGGTACGAAAGCAAGATCGTTAGAAGAGCAAGCAATGTAATTGTTTTTCCACTCTCTTGGTGTTGTTGAAACTGTTGAATAGTTTCTATATCATTTTCCTGGCAATACCATTCTGAAGGGGATTACTGTTTTCTACTTTTCCATGATTTTGATCATGATTTGAATCAATATCATCTCTGCGTGAAATTGCCTGCCTCTGCCTCTGTCTCTGTCTCTGTCTCTGTCTCTGTCTCTGTCTCTGTCTCTGTCTCTCTGTCTCTCCTCCCCTCTGTCGGCGTGTCGCAGGGGTTGCTCTCCTTCTGTTCTCCCCCCCCTACCACCCCTTCAACATGACCTCACAAGATGAGGACCGAGGGGGTGTCTGTGCACTGGGGGGTACTCGGGAACTACATATGTTGCCAGTGTCGTAAGCAGACCCGCCTCAACGGCGGGTCCACCCGAGCGCGGGTGGAATGGGAATCGCAATGGCGATCCAGCGACAAACTGTTTCGAGGATGAACAACTCAAGAATGAAAATCTGTACAATGCAAAACAAACGTTTTATATTCAGAGTTACATACAAATTGTCATTCTCTATACCTGTTCGCGTTGTACAGGTCATTGGTGAGAAAGCACTTGGCAGTAGGACTTTTTGTCATTGGGTTCTTCGAGAGACTCATGCTCTTCAAGAATGCTTCAGATGAAATCACATCTATCCTCACAGATAATCTTGTATTTGCTTTTGTAGCTCATCAACTGTGTCAGAGTGTGAAGTTGTCCAATGTCTGATTTTCTTACACAATGACTTGTGCTTTTGCCGATGATTCTTTACTTGACTTCGAAGCTTTTGTGAGTCTATGTGCAGCTGGAAATCATCATGATGTCTGTCCAAAGAGGTTTCTAGAAGCGTATTGCTCTTACATGAGAAATGTTGATGGTATGCTGGCTCAGCTTGAGAAAACTAGCCGCTACTTGTAGCAAGCTATGGTCCACGTCGCTTATCTCCAACGTTGCGTGCCCGATGTTTTGCAGAAAATGTAACAATTTCAGCACCAATGCGTCAATGAACACTGCATAATTCTTTACAGACCACAAGTCGATGTCTTTGAAATCCCGTCGACGACGTGAACAAGCTTTGATGCAGTGTTGAGGGATCGTCCGAATGCTGATCGTACTTTGTCTCGTCTTACAAATAGGGCATTTCTCTCTGTCTGCTGTCGTCTTGGTCATGGTAAGGATGCAGAGCGGATTGCCCGACAAAATTCGGATTTGAATGTCTTCCCATGGCGCGTCATAGATCTTGCATTGTTGCCTTGTATCCCCTGCATGACCACCGACCACGATGTGCATCGCGGTCGGTGGGAGCGGTATTTAACTGAAAATTAGTATTTCGGGATTGACAACCCTGGTGATCTACCTTGTATCTGTGAGAACTTGAACCGACTTGCTAACTTGTTATTAAGCAAAGTGAAGGAGAAATTCAGTAACTCCTATCAGATCTTCACAAGATTCGATGGCAGGACATCTTGATGAGGGGCACGAGGCTTGTTCAGGGAGACGTACCTGATTCATTCCTTGCCCGGACAGAATGAGGAAGGGCTGGTGCGAACCGTGTGCGAGGATAAGGCAGGAAAAAGAATCTAGCTTCTAACTTACAGCTGTCCTTCACAAGTGCAGCTGATGTCGGTTCCTTTCTGATATGTAGGAAAATCAAGGTCCTTGCAGCTGCTTGTTCGATTCTGAAGGTAGTAGCAGGCTCTCGCAGTGAGCTGCTAAAGTACAAGATGCGCTAACGGAATTCAAGGCATAAGTTGTTGTTACCTCGAGTCAAGTTAGCCGGGCATCAAGAACGACACGATTTGACGTGAAAAGAATCAGGTCAGTCTCGGGCATGGCGAAGAAAAGCTGGAAGGCTTCAGCTGAGGAGGATCAATTGAAGGAAGGGTTCTACAAAGAGGCCAGGTGCAAGTGATCATCCTTTCAGATCCACCAGGATTTTACAGCGAACATTGGTGAACGATTTCGTCAATGACAAATACATTTGAACGTCCAAAACTCCTCACGGCAGGGAGTATCGAAGCCAAGATAGTTATCTCTGACATGTGTTGGACTCAACGCCTGACGGTCGTTTCGCGCCTTGCAACGAGAAATCTCTGGACAGTAGTCAGAGGCTAGAATGTAGATTCGCATTTCCTATCTGCCCTTTCTGTTCCCCGTTGTCTCTATTTTCCCTTTTTCCACCTCCTGATCATCTTTACTAAGTCGTGGACTGAGCGATATTCCATCGAAGGCGATTGAGCTGCCGTGAGAGTTCTGACAGGATGAAAGCTGACTGAGGTTGGAAGCTTGCAAGAGAAGCACAAGCGATGGAGCTGTCGACCGACGTTGCTGGCGCTGAACGATCAGACTGGAGCGAGGCAGTCGACGACACAGTGACAAGGGGAAACAATCTCTTGGTACGCTGCTGCGGTAATGGAGGACGAAAAGTGAGATAACGCCTGCTTGCAGGTTGTTCGATGTCGGACACAGTCTCTCGATCAGGCAATGCTGGGCGGACACAAGGGATCAGAGACAGACGCTGGACAAGGGATCAGAGACAGACGCTGGACAAGGGATCAGAGACAGACGCTGGACAAGGGATCAGAGACAGACGCTGGACAAGGGATCAGAGACAGACGCTGGACAAGGGATCAGAGACAGACGCTGGACAAGGGATCAGAGACAGACGCTGGACGAGAGATCAGAGACAGACGCTGGACAAGGGATCAGAGACAGACGCTGGACAAGGGATCAGAGACAGACGCTGGACAAGGGATCAGAGACAGACGCTGGACAAGGGATCAGAGACAGACGCTGGAGGGGTGAGGGCACGGGGGCTGAGATCACTTGCAGCAGCCACTCGTCATCTCCTCCTGTTGTGAAGGTCAAAAACAACCTCGCAGCTGCTCCCACGACCCCCTTCGCCTCGGACCCCTTCCTATCTCTTGACCCATCCCCCTGCCCCTCTTAGATCAGACCTGTCGGGAGGAATCCTTTCTGCTGACTTCCAGAACGTGAGCAGCTATCTCGACTTGAGGCGGAGACAAGCAGAAAGAGCTGTCCAGTTAAATCCTTCATTATGAGAAACACTGATTGTCTACCTTAACACCTCCCTCAATCCTAAACCTCGTCCTCGTCCGTCGCCCTCATGTACTCCGCAAGCCACTCTGCCTCTATTCCCCCCGTCGTCCCCTCCTCTCCCCGCTCCTCCATCCGCCAGGCTCCTCCTGTCCCTCCCCATGCGCGAGCGCCGGAGGTCTGAGCAGCGGGCAGAAAGGCTGAGGGCTGGGCTTGGGGTCGTCCGGGCGGCGGGCCAACAAGCTCGGAGGGTCTGACTTGGACCGTATGAGCGACGGCAGCTGCAGCTGATTGGGATGAAGGCGAAGACGCCGAGGAGGACGAGGGAGGGCTGTCCTCGGAGTCCTGCTCCTCCTCTCCCTCTCCGTGATGCGACCCCTCCTCCTCCCCTCCTCCCCCGCCTTGGCCCCCCGCCTCTCCTTCCCCCTGCCCTCCCCGCCAGCGAGCGATGCCGAGCCTCCTGCAGGCAGTCTTGAGGCTGGTGAGGGAGATGCCCTGGCAGGAGGAGGAAGCGCAGTCAGCATCGGGCAGTGAGGGAAGGAGGAGGGGCAGGGGAGATCTTACGAGGCGCTTGGCGGCGTCTCGCTGCTTGAGGGGGAAGAGTGGCTGGAGGATGGCAGGGGAGATGCGGAGGAGAGGAGGGGGTGGTGAGGATCGGTCAGGGGGGTTCTTTCGGGGTCGAGGAATGACGTAGACGGAGGGGGAGGAGGGGCGCTGCATGTCAGGAGCAGAGGGAGGAGGGGCGAGATGAAGGGGATGGGAGTGGAAGAAGAGTGTTGGAGCCTGGAAGCGAGAAAGGTTGTCAGGAAAACTTACAAGAATCAAACAGCCGTATGCTTTAGCTCAGCTGTATCATCAAGTTCTTGACGTCTCTATCATATTTGGTTTCCTGATGGTCTGGTATAAACGTTCTTCTGGTTTCTTGCCTGCCTGCCTGCCTGCCTGCCTGCCTGCCTGCCTGCCTGCCTGCCTGCCTGCCTGCCTGCCTGCCTGCCTGCCTGCCTGCCTGCCTGCCTGCCTGCCTGCCTGCCTGCCTGCCTGCCTGCCTGCCTGCCTGCCTGCCTGCCTGCCTGCCTGCCTGCCTGCCTGCCTGCCTGCCTGCCTGCCTGCCTGCCTGCCTGCCTGCCTGCCTGCCTGCCTTTACTGCAGCAACTCTGTAGCCGGCTTGCTGGATTTATCGTAGCGCCGCATGACTGGTTCGTCCCTTCAGAGGGGGTGGTGTTCCCAGTTGACCTCATAGAGTAAAAGTTTGCCGTCGGGTGGGTGGGTAGCTCTATCGTAGGAACACCGGATGACCGAGCCGTGCCGCCTCGTGACCTGCTGACTTAAAGAGCCTCATCTTTTAGTCAACGTTGATTGCACGGCATAACTTGCGGTGCCTTCGAGTTACCGTTGGCGATGCGAGGAGAAGGAGAAAATGAGCTAAGATCCTCCATCAGTCATGCTTGCTGGATCATCCCTGCATGCCAACCTTATAGTCATCCTTGCTGGATCATCCCTGGATGCTAACTAATGGTTCATCACATGGATAGTTACTTCAGGGCACGACGGGTGTCTCGTACAACTCTTGTACAACCTCCCTGAGTTTCGAGGTTGGATCCTGAACAGCATGCTTTCTTGCGGCAGATTTCTCCTTGAGCTCATACGCAATATCAATACTTGTTCTTCTGAATCAGCAATGTATCATATTTGTAAAGTCCCTCGTGCAACCTTGATGGAAACATGTTTGCATCAGATGTATCTTGTCGTCTCGAAGGGTTTACTTTCCTAGTGACTGCTGGATGAGTGGCAATGACTGAGGAGGAAACGTGCTGTCGAGAGGGTCAGAGAGCGTGCTTGCGTGAAGAAGGGACCATGAGGGTCAGATGAACATTCATATTAAGAACAAGCCTTGTAGGAAACGAAAGCAGGATCATGTTGAGTGAATATCCGCGTGATCGCCTGACACTGTTGGCTCGCCATCTGTTCCGAAACATCTCGAAGATCTTCTCGTCCCCCTCCCCCCCGCCCCCGCCCCTCCTGCTCCCCCCGCCCCTCCTCCCCTCTCTCCCTTTTCTAGCAGAGTTGCCAGGCGCTCAAGGGGTCTTTAACTTTTACTCAACCGAAGCCCCGTGAGGGGGTCCATGGGTGTGGTAAAGGTGGGTGGGTGACAGGGGTGGGGTCAGCAAGGCAACAGCAATGCTACGGTCGATTCTTCCTGCTCTCGAAGGATCGAAGACGCGGATCGACCCTCTCTCCTGCTGTCACCTTCCAGCTCTCCAGCTCCACACGATCATGTGAAGCAGGCTACACGACACTTCTGCCGGGGATGCGTCAGAGTAGTGACGTGTGGTAGCGTATCGAGGCAAATCGACATTGCAATTGTGAAAAATTCCGCAAGGAAGCTGAAGCAGTGACTTCATGTCTGACCTTCTGCGCACTTCGACAAGTATTTTGAAAAAAGTTAGAAACACACAAGCCGCTTGATGAGCGTACGATTAATACCGCAATCGACATTTCAAGAGCTGAGAGCAACATCGGCATCATCGTAATCGCCCCATGACAATCAATACTTCGACAGACTCGAAAGAGAAAGGAGAGATTCACTTGAAATTTGATTCGAGATATTGTTCTGGTCAGTCACCCTACTTAAACGAGATGACAATAGTGGTTGTAAACTGCATCTTCAGGGAGCAAACGAGAGATAACTACAACACTCTCACAGTGGCGTTGACTAGAGCACAACAACCAGGACAGGTTACTACTCGCTAAGACACGTCGCTCTTGCCATGGAACGTGGATTAGATGATGTGTGCGGTATGAGCTTGGTCTGATGTACCATAGTAATACTTGAAAGGTTTGGACAACTGAAGTCAAACAACAAACAACTTACACCTCTATTCCCTCGCTCTGTTTCCCTGTTTTATTCGTACCTCAAACAGTAGTTATCGTGAATAGTAATTATCGTGACTGTTACACCTCGTCCTCGTCCGTCGCCCTCATGTACTCCGCAAGCCACTCTGCCTCTATTCCCCCCGTCGTCCCCTCCTCTCCCCGCTCCACCATCCGCCAGGCTCCTCCTGTCCCTCCCCATGCCCGAGCGCCGGAGGTCTGAGCAGCGGGATCAGCTGATTGGGATGAAGGCGATGACGCCGAGGAGGACGAGGGAGGGCTGTCCTCGGAGTCCTGCTCCTCCTCTCCCTCTCCGTGATCCGACCCCTCCTCCTCCCCTCCTCCCCCGCCTTGCCCCCCCGCCTCTCCTCCCCCCTGCCCTCCCCGCCAGCGAGCGATGCCGAGCCTCCTGCAGGCAGTCTTGAGGCTGGTGAGGGAGATGCCCTGGCAGGAGGAGGAAGCGCAGTCAGCATCGGGCAGTAGGGAGGAGGAGAAGGAAGCGGTAGAGTCGGTAGAGTCGGTAGACGCAAGGGGGGGAAGTAAAGACTCACAAGGCGCTTGGCGGCGTCGCGCTGCTTGAGCGGGAAGAGTGGCTGGAGGATGGCAGGGGAGATGCGGAGGAGAGGATGTATAGAGGACAAGGGGCTTTGGGGGTTGCGACGAGGTCGGGGGACAACGTACACGGAGGGGGAGGAGGCCTGTATGTTAGGAGCAGAGGGAGGAGGGGCAAGATTTTGGTTAGGGAGATTGGCTGCCATAACGAAAAGCACTGGAGCTGCAAGCAAAGGTCATCGTCAGGCGAGGAGTTTGTGCGCATCTTTTCTAGCTTCTCTTTACAGTCTGCACAATTGTGCGTTTGTCTGTTGTTTGCATGTTTGAATATGTTTCTCAGCTCCCTTGCTCATCCTTGACTATCTCACACGTGCTGCCAGCACCCTACTCTCATCATCTATCACTTCCTGTTGCTCTTTTTGTTTGTCGTCACCTGCCTCCCTTTCTCGTCTCTCCGTTCCTTTTCTTCTCAAGAGCCCCAACCCATCAACCCCGGGTAGTTGCATCGGTGTTCTGCAAGCTTTATCTCTTCTTGCGAAAAGAAGCGGTTTCAATATTTTTGGAGTTGCCAACGTGACCTGCTGACAGTTTGGCCCATGTTAGTTGCCGACTCTCAAGTTTTTAGTTATCGATTCGCAGGAGCCCCGTCCTTCTTTACTCAAAGGTAAGTGAAAAATCAGTACGGGCCGTAAGAGGACACTGAATCATCAATCGGGACTGAGGAGCCTTGACCCGGGCCTCAGCCGCCGTCACGGCGTGACGGGCCGTGGCAGTGGGCCGGGCGGATGATACGGCGGGACCCGGCACCGTGACCGTCGGGTGACTCTGACTGAGGCGCCTCAGCCGGCCCGCCCGGCCCGCCGCCGTCAGGGCCGGGCCGTGGCACCGCCGGCCCGGCGCTTCAACTTCCGCGGCCACTGAGTCAACGGCGGCATGACTGCCAGCCTGAGGGGCCTGCCAGAGAGTCAGCCGCCGCAGGACTGAGCCGGCGGGTAAACTTGAAATCAGTTGAATTTGACTCAACCGTTGAACTTCGGAACAATGTGACTCGGAGGCTCAGCAAGCCCCGCCGGCCCGGACTCGGGAAACGTCACGTTGCTCGGAATTCTTTACTCACATTGACTCTTGAAGAATCCGAGACTCGGTGACAGAGGCAGCGCCATGGCTGGCATGGCTCGGATTTGCCATGATATAGGCTGGCCGGCCCGGGCTGCGCGGCACGCGATCCGGCAGGCCCCGCCCGCGTTTTCGAAAGCCTTCAAGTCCGAGGCCGGGCGCGGCCCGGCGCCGGGCCGGGCCGACCGGGTCGCCCGGGGCCCGGCTCGGACGCACGCCCCGGGCCCGGCCGGGTTGAACTTCAGTTCTGTACAACGGTATTCCGTTGAAATTCAATTTGGCGTGTTGTGGGAGGGAGGGAGGGAGGGAAGAGGGAGCGAATGTGATCGGAAACGAGGGTCGCGATGGCTCATCCGCCATCTTTGAGCACAGATGTGACGATAGAAGACAAGATGAATGTACTTGCTACCCCCAATCACTCACTTTCATATCCTTCACTCTTCCCTTTGCAATGGGAGATAGTCCTTGGCAGCGGGCAGAGGGGGGCCATGGCGAGAAGAGCGATTGTTGTTGTTTTCTTGTCTTTTGTTTTGACTGGGAGAGTGTACAGATCGTAGTCATGGGAGATCAGCTAGCTTCCTTGGAGAGCAAGATAACTTCCTTGGAGAAGGAGAAACGTCAACGTGAGTTCCAGGTATGGTGGCCCTGCAAAAGACTGTCGTCCTGACATCGTACCAGTACACTGCCCTCGAGTCGCTTCTCCGCAAGACCAAGACGGAGAATGAAAGGTTCTTCTTTGACGTCTTCTCAGCACATGAGATGTATCTGATGTTCTTTCACTCCAGTCTCAAGGCTGAGCTGTCAACCTTGAAATCTGAGGACACAAAGGATACAGACCAGCAGGCGGCAAGCGGCAGGTGATGCCTGGCTGATGGTGGCCGGAAGCGTGCCTGATTCTGCCTCTTTCTAGCTCTGATTCCTCTGAGCTCGAGGAGGTCAAGTCGCAATGCAAGCGCCTGGAGGAGGAGAAGAGAGCAGTCGAAGTCAGTCGGACGTGAGCGTTCTGAGAGTTCCTGACTGGATGGCAGGACGAGCTCAAGGCCGCCAATGGGAAGATGCAGACCCTCATGCAAGCGCTGAAAGAGCAGCAGGAGGAAACAGACAGGCAGTCCAGGTTTTCCTTGTTGTACCTGAGATACTGGGTGAGGCTGGTAGCAGGGAGGGCGAAGGCAGTTTGGCAAGAATCGCGGTTTTGGAGGAGGCGAATGAAAAGCTCAAGAGCAGGCTCGAGCTAGGAAACAAGGCACTCGAGACTCAGCATGAGCTCGAGAGGCAGCTCGAGGAGCTCCGAGCCACGTCCGCTGCTGCGGCAGACGAGGCGAGCAGGAAGGAGGCAGAGGCCGGAGAGCTGCTGGAGAAGGTGAAGGAGATGGAGGGCCGGCTGGCGCAGGCAGAGGAGGAGGCGAGGAGGGGAGACGATCTTGTGGTAGAGCTGCACGCAGCTCGGCTGCAGGTGGAGGAGCTGGAGGGGGCAAGGGAGGAGCTGCGCAAGCAGCATGAGGACGCCGAGAACGCCCAGCAGGCCCGCCAGCAAGAGCTTGAGGAGAAGATCGCGCAGCTACAGGAGGAGAACATGTCCCTGCAGCAGATGAGCATGAAGGAGGACGGGGAAGAGGCTCTTGCTGAGGCCCAGCAGCGGCTCGAGAAGGAGCAGGGCAGACGCGAGGAGCTCGAGAGGCAGCTCGAGGAGCTCCGAGCCACGTCCGCTGCTGCGGCAGCGGAGGCGAGCAGGAAGGAGGCAGAGGCCGGGGAGCTGCTGGAGAAGGTGAAGGAGATGGAGGGCCGGCTGGCGCAGGCAGAGGAGGAGGCGAGGAGGGGAGACGATCTTGTGGTAGAGCTGCACGCAGCTCGGCTGCAGGTGGAGGAGCTGGAGGGGGCAAGGGAGGAGCTGCGCAAGCAGCATGAGGACGCCGAGAACGCCCAGCAGGCCCGCCAGCAAGAGCTTGAGGAGAAGATCGCGCAGCTACAGGAGGAGAACATGTCCCTGCAGCAGATGAGCGTGAAGGAGGACGGGGAAGAGGCTCTTGCTGAGGCCCAGCAGCGGCTCGAGAAGGAGCAGGGCAGACGCGAGGAGCTCGAGAGGCAGCTCGAGGAGCTCCGAGCCACGTCCGCTGCTGCGGCAGCGGAGGCGAGCAAGAAGGAGGCAGAGGCCGGAGAGCTGCTGGAGAAGGTGAAGGAGATGGAGGGCCGGCTGGCGCAGGCAGAGGAGGAGGCGAGGAGGGGAGACGATCTTGTGGTAGAGCTGCACGCAGCTCGGCTGCAGGTGGAGGAGCTGGAGGGGGCAAGGGAGGAGGTGGCGGAGCTGAAAGAGTGTTTGTCAAGCATGGAGAAGGAGGGGCAGGCTGTCCATGCCTCCTACGAGCTCCTGCTGTCCGAGAAGGATTCTCAGCTCGCTGAGCTGGCCGGGCAGCTGAAGCAGCTCGAGGAGTGCAAGGAGAAGATGCGAGAGGAGCTCGAGGAGGCGAACAGTGAGATCGAGAAGTTCCTCGAGCTCGAGAAGGACCTCAACGCCCAGCTGAAGGCCCACCAGGACAGAGCCGCTGGCAGCGAGCTGGACGCCCTTAGGGAGGAGGTGAAGAGCAAGAGCGAGCTGCTTGCCAACGCTGCCATGGCGCAAGAAAACCTGAAGCTGCAGCTGGAGAAGGCTAGGAAGGAGGTGGAGGACGCAAAGGAGGGCGCGAACTCCTCTGCGTCATCGGCAGCCCAGCTGGAGACGCAGCTGAGCAGGGCGGAGGAGGAGAGGAAGGCTCTGTCAGACTTGCTGTCATCCACCAGGCTGGTGCTGGAGTCGAAGGAGGCCGAGCTCGAGAGCGTGCGCTCCCAGCTGGAGTCCAGCAGGGCCGAGTTGAGGGGCGTTCAGTCGGGGATGGCCGTGGAAGGGGGGGAGCTCAGGAAGGAGCTGGAGAGGAAGGAGGAGGAGAACTCCAGGCTGCAGCAGAAGCTCGCGTCCTCCAAGGACCTTCATGAGAGCTCAGCAAACCAGGTGGAGAGGTAAGCGACTAGATACAGTCAGACGGCTCCTTGTTCCTGTCCCTCCTTGCTGCTGTTGATTCTATTCCTACTCCCTTTCTTTCGTTGTCTCCCTCCCTCCCTCCCTCCCTCCCTCCCTCCCTCCCTCCCTCCCTCCCTCCCTCCCTCCCTCCCTCCCTCCTCTCTTTGCTCTTCTCATGTCTCGCGCAGGCTTAAGAAGGAATTGTCGGAGAAGGAACAAGAGCTCGCGAAACTTCAGGCTTTGAGCGCGCAGGCTGAGGAGAAACTGATCCAGGAGAAGAATACCTTGACGGTGATTCTTCCTTCCTCTATCCTCCCCCTTCCCCTTCCTCCCCTCCCTTCTCTTTTGTCCAGCCCTTCTCCTCCTCCTCTTATTTTCCCATCCCTTGTCTCCTCCTCCTCCTCCTATCTTCCCCTCCTTCACTTGTCTTGTCCTCCTCCTATTATCTTCCCCTCCTTCACTTGTCTTCTTCTCTTCTCTCATCCGTTCAGCAGGAAAAAGTCAAAGTCCTCACCTCGAAGCTCGAAGCTGCTGAGAGTGCGCGAGAAATGGCCGCAGCCAAGGTTGGGGGGTGGGGGTGGGGGGAGGTTTGAGGAGGAGGAGGAGGAGGAGGAGGAGGAGGCGGAGGGATCAAGCATAGTAGCGGTAGGAGGAGGAGGATGACAATCTTTGCAGATGAAGGAGGAGGCAGCAGCTTCTCAGAAGCTTTCACAGAGGATTGAGAGCCTCCTGGACAAGGTGAAGTCACGTATGAGAGAGCCTCTCATATCCTCGAACACCTCATCTTTCAATTTCTCTGTCAGAGAAAGATTGGGAAGAGGCGAGATGAAGGAAAGACTTCTCCTCCTAGCGTCAGAAGAGATGTAGGAGCAGGGCGGAGATGAGGACGAGGATTGAGAGCGAGGAGGTGGTAGAGGGGGAGGTGGAGGAGATGGAGAAGAGGGAAGAGTAGAAAGGAGTGAAATGGTTCTTGCCAAGGTTTTGGGCTGGAGAGACAGCGGATGAGAAATCGAAAGGATGAGGGCGAAGAGGAGGGCAAGGATGGGAGTAGGAGGGGTTAACTCCACGCAGGTGTCGCTCCTTGAGCAGAAGAACGAGTCTCTCCTCGCTCAGCAGGGAGATAGTAAGGGAAGCGACAAGAATGAAGACGAGGAGCTTCAGGTGATCTTGCAGTGTTCCATCTCCTGTTCCTTATCCTCCTCCTCCTCCTCCTCCTCC